CCAGTGGTGGGACAGCTGATTGTTTAACACTGTCAGTAAAGAGGAAAGATCCTGGAACTATTTTGATCTCCAACAACCGTAATCAAATATAAGGCAGTGGAAAAACCAGACATGGCCCACTGATGTTTCAGCTTATGTACAAAGAGCAGTGGGAGATCTTGATACAAGGCAGAAGAATTTGCAGTGTGGAGGAATGTGATGAGTTGTATTGATGTGCTTGATAAAAATAACATTTTCTGTTACCTACGCTGAGTGATTCAGCATTTTTGAGACATGCCTTTGACTAAAATAAATGTGTCTACAGACTTGGATGAGATGGGATGCAGATTATATTTGGGTCAAATTAAAAAGAGGTCCATACTGAATAAACTGTGAAATGCAACCAATGACAGGGTATTAGTGATAATCTTTCTTCTGAAATACCAGCTCAGCAGTAAACAGAGCAGGTGCAAGCCATGGTTAATCCTTGACCCCTGGGAAATGGTGACGTTTCTTTCTGTTGTCTTTCTACTCCAGATGCCAGGCTGAGTTCCTAATTGAGAGCGCTAGCTTGAGCACCTGGGCTGCATCACAAGGAGAGAAGCTCTGTTAACTGCTGCTTCCTGTAATATCCCACTGCAGGCAACACCTGGGGTATGGTTTTATAAATAGATAACCTGAGCTGTGATCACACAAGGTTAATGCAGAAGTTGTCGGCTTGCTGGGCAGCGTTCCAGCTGTGTGCTGGTGGTACATGCTGGCAACAAAAATCAAATCATGTTTTATGTGCTTAGTGTTTATCTGGTTCATGATGTTATAGAAAGGTGGTTTTCCTAATGTGTAAAATTTCTTGTCTGCTCCTGTGTTAAAAGGAGGTTTCAGGTGGATAGGACTGTAACATTTGCTGATGTCTTGGAGCACGTACTTCATCTGCTGTATTCTAAAAGCATGGAGATGCTCAGAATTACTGACATCTGGCAGTGTATACTTACTGAAGAATTAACACTTTAGCAAAGGCTCTGGTAACTGTTTTCTCATGTAGTTCCATCTCTTCTGATAGTTTTTCTCAGTTTACATTGGTAGTGTAACTCGTGGGATTTACTGCACTGAAACAGGACATTCTTTTGGCATTGTGTACAGCACTGAAAAGAAAAAAAGAGATTCCCCTTAAATTTTGAGTGGCTTTGAATCTTTAGATTAAATTTTCCTCATATTCTGGAAGGCAGCATTGGTCAGAATAAGAATAAAAGGGACTGCAAAGCATTGGCATTCCTGCACAAGGTGGATCCCTTCTCCCACACTGTTTGAACAAACCACACTTTCCTTTGTATCTCAGGTCCTTATGGTTTCCTTTATCTGTTTGTGAGGCAGCAGTTCTGCAATCTGTAGGCAGTTCTACCAAACTCTTGCACTTTGGCTAAAATGCTGCTGAATCCCTCCTTTCCAGCAGTGCAGTTCTTGTTGTGTGACACCTGCAGAGTAAAAGCAGACCAAGCTGTAAGCAGCAACGCCTGCTTGTTTGAGTCAGCTCAGACAGGTGGTGTTGCTGAGCAGCTTCCACAGCTATTGCCATTATGAAAGTACTGCATGAAGAAAGGCTGACTTGAAGCCTCGTTTGATCTGCTGCATTTTACTTTGTCTGTTTGTGAAAATATTCTCTCTGTTTCGCTTTCTTCTTTGAATCATAGAATGTATATTTAGACCAGCACTGCACTAGGAGCTCATTTGGCTAAATAGTTTCTTATTCTATTCAGTACTGTTTTGCTGCATCTGGAGCAAAATTTAGTGGAGCACACAACTTAATGTTTGCTAAAAATAAGTAGGAAAGAATAAGTAGAAGACGACGACAAGTAATTTCCAATATGGCTATAAAGGTTGTACAGCACCTTTACACAAAGGTCATCGCTTTGCATTTCTTTTTGCATTAATGGAAACAACGCAGCTACATCTCCTATTTTTGTCTTGCAGACAGAATTGTAGAGGAAGCTTTAAAACACGAATATATCATCACAGATGTGATTTGGTCCAGCATTTGACAGTTGTCGGTGGCATAAAGAAAAGAGTTAGAGGATTGGCAGAATTGGTGTCTTGGCTGCCAATAGCATCTGAGAGTAATGCCTGGGGAAAGCAATTTGTGCACTCATGACTGTATTTCAATTAAGTCGGGAGGAAATCCTGTTGATAAGAAGTTTTTACTGATATTAGCACTTCTTATGCCATTTTGATTAAGTACTTAACTACTCTTCCACAAAAATCCATTTGATTAATGACATTGATTCCATAGGATGATTCAATGGATGAGAGGGAAATGAATTTAATAAAAGAAGTAAATAAAAGACTTCTAAATAATTCTAATAAGATCTATTTAAAACTGTGATTCATGTCTACATGTTAAGACCTCTTCACATTCCACCTGTCTGAAGGCAAAGCAGGCAGTGCCATTCCCCATCAGGGCCATGGAGCTCCTGTGGGTGTTCCCCAGTGTACAGAATAAAACCTCCCAGGACATTTGGTTCTGAAATATTTTCTAAGAAGAATGCAGTTCTGTGGATTATGATAGGAGCTGCTGGGCCACTATTTAACACATGTTGAAACTCATATAAAGGGAATTTTGGGCCAGTGATTCAGAATACACCTGGCTGTATTTCTCAGGAGTTTGTCTCTCCATATGCAAACTGAAGCATTTGTGGGAGGAAGCCGGGGAGTTCTGCTCTACCCATTTTAGAGTGACAGATACAGAACGAGGGGAAAATATTTGACTGAAATAAGCAAATTACTCATCATTTAAACCTGCCTTTCCTTGGGAGCTATATAAATCATCTTGTGGGCTGTAGTATTGGAACAGCAGTGAACAGAGGAAGATGCCTTTGGTTACGTAGGAACATTACTTGGTCTCTTCTACCTGAAAGTGGAGGTTTGAATCACTGACATTCATTTTGCCTGTTTATCAGGCAGAGGAGCACATTGCTGTTAAGTATAAAAAGAAAACAGTGACACCAACGGAAAATGTAACGCATGATGGAATGAGAGATTTTTCTTTTCTGGGGGGCAGGGCACGTCTTGATGTTGGCATGTAAGCAAACCAACCACCACACTTACAGCACAGAGCTGCAATAAAGGCTGCATTCTGTTCTCAGCCGTGTGGCCGATGCTCAGCTCTGTTTTGTCATAAGGAAGTTGTGAATCTTTTGGGGCTTAATTCACAGCTATGCTTAAGACCTCTAACACCCTCTGGCAACTTGCTCAGTCTGCTAGACAGTATTCCTTCCGCACCAATAATGTTAGCAAAAATATTTAAGAACATCGACTGAGAATAAAACCATCAACATCCTTTAGTTGATCCAATTATCTCTGTCTAAAAAAAGGTTTTAACACCTCCCACACGGAACAGCAGCTCCAGTAATTTGGCAGTGCTAACAGCGCATAATCAAGAAACATGAGGCTGTGATGTGGTAATACATCCCATCTTGTGTGCAGCAAGAGTTTTGTTTTATTTAAGTAAATATATTTTCTGCGTGAGCACCTTTTGCATTACTTGTTGGCGGGTTGCTCATCCCATTAGTATCCGAGAGCTGCTACAAATGTTAAGCTGCAGATGGGGGAATGGTAACAGGCTGTCGGAGATCAGGCTTTGTGTCGCTGTGCTTAGGATGCTCACGGGGCGTTTGGAGCTCAGCATACCTGTGAGTAATGCAGAACAGGGAATTGGAGGGCTGGTTATATAGCTTCTTATTCCGCCAGTGACTGATTCACAGCTCACCTTACGTGTACCGTCATTACAGAACAGTGCTCTGACAAGTCCCTTAATGACACGGTAACTTCCCGGATAGCATTACAACATGTTGCGTTATCAGTAAATTACATCAAAGCGTAGCATTCAATGAGGATAGGGCGGGCTCTGAAATGAGCCAGTCTGCTGTGTTTAAAATGCACTGAATTGTTCTCGCTGTTGAAATGAGAACACCCTTACACTGCAAACCTGCTGACAGGCTGCAAATGAAGTTTTAAGCGTTAGGTCTGGAGCTGCTGTGAACCTCAGCGTTATTTTGTTGTGGAATGTGCACGAAGAACTATGGCAGAGCCGAGAGCTGCCCGCAGCAGCACCGCGAGGCTGGTCACCGGCACTGCGAACAGCGGCCGTGGCGCAGATCCGGGGCTCAGCCCCGACATCCGCCTCACAAGGGGGGCTGGGGAGAGTGAAGAAGCAAAGACTTGTCTTCGAAGTTTCCAGCAGATGGATGTAGATGGGTAAAGAGCTGGCTGCGTGCTTGTCACCTCAGAACGATTTGAATTGCGGTGTTATCTAGTTGTGCCTGAAAACAACAATAACGATGTGTCACGCATGGCTTACTGCGCTGATGTGAAGGGCAAGGGGCCTTCCCAGTCCGCGACGTGAGCGGCCTCAGGCAAGGAGCGCCTCCGAGCTGCTCGTTGCTTCCTGGTGCTTTTAGCGAGTGACCCGAGTGAGCAGCGCAACGCACTAGCAGGAGCGGGCTAGAACAACGGAAGACTGTCTCCCACATTATGATTCAACTCAAGTATTTCTGGTGGAAGCAAAGCTAACTCGAACACGTCAGAAAACACGGCTCATTGGGTAACGCAGCCGCTGTCTCGAGCCGGACACGGGGAGCCGCACACGGCCAACCCGGCAGCGCCGCTCTCCGTCCCGCGCACGGACTGAGGCAGGCTCCTCCCGCCGCCCCGCCCCCGGGTCCGCGCTGCCGGCCGATTGGTGCTGGGCTCCATCAGTCCGGGGGAAGCCCCGCCCCCTCCCGTCGGCGGTCGCGCGTGTTGATTGCCGAACGCTCCGCACCGTTCTCGCGCCGCAGCCTGCGCTCGGCCCGGCTCGCCCCGTGCGGCGCGATTGGCTGATCTGGCCGTCAATCTCGGATCGGCTCCGTCCCGACCGGCGGTCCCGCCCCCCGAGCGCGAGGCGCGCGTCGATTGGCGCGGCGGGCTGTCGGTCAGCGGAGCGCCCGCCCCTCTCGGTCAGGTAGCCCGGAAGATGGCGGCGGCGGCGGCGGCCGGAGGGGCCGTGTGAGCGGAGCGCGGACGCCGATGCCGCGGAGGGCCGCGCCGAGGAGGCGGGGGGCAGCGGCTGCCGCAGGAGCTCCTTGGAGACGCTGAGAGCCTCGAGCCCCTCGATCGGCGCCGAGCCGCGGGCCGGCGGCGGAGGACATGCGGCGGCGCGAGGGGCTCGGCCCGGCGGCAGGGAGGCGGGGGGGCGGCCCGGCCGGGCTCGCCGTCCTGCTGTCGCTGCTCCTGGGGAGCGGTGGGGCGGCCCCGCTTCCGCCGGCGGGCGCAGGTGAGGCGCGGGAGGCGGCGCGGCGCGGCGGGGGCGGCCCGGGCGCGGGGGCTGCGGGGCGCGGCCGTGGCCGTGGCTGTGGCCGCGCTGTCCCGCTTCGGGCGGCCGCGGCTCCTGTGATCGCTCGTTCCGCACCGCGCGGCTCTTCCGTAGCGGCCGGCTGTGCGAGCCGCGGATCTCGCCGTGCTTTCCCCCGTTCCGCCCGTGGATCGCAGTGGGGCTCCCTGCCCGGGCCGCGGGCGGCGCTTCCCTCGGCGGGAATGCGGTCCCAGCTGCTCGGCTCTGCGTTAGGTAACGCTGGCCGCCTTCGGGCCCGTATCTTCCTGTTCGTCTTAAGACGCGCACGGCCGCTGTGTTCTCCCGATCTCACCGATTACCGCAGGAAGGTTTATTCGCTCTGATAGGTAACAGTCGCCTCAATCGTTCACTTATTTCTTTGTGCTCTATTGGTGCTTCCGAACATAAAATTGTTTTGGCGATGAATTCTGCTGGGCTCGACTCAGATGTGCGCTGAGGTTCAGTTGTGGTGGTGCAGCATGGAGCGGCAGGGCGGCAGCTTGAGGGGAAGCAGTGAAGCTCAGCACCTTCGGCTGCTGTGCCACGGGAAGTAGCAGCACTGGGTGCGGAACCCACACTTGCTTTGTTTTGGACCTACGTTTTTCCCATTTATTTTCTTCCCAAGGAAGCTTCAGAATTGCTCATGAGTTACTGCTTCTGTCAGCCTTCCTTGAGGTTGGTCCTTTTATGATAAAGTTCTGGGTAAAATGAAAGCCTTGGGAAGCCCTTGGTCAAACTTGTATTTTCTTTGAGGCTCAGTGACAGTTTTCTCATTCATGAAATATGTGAAAAATTTCCCGATGATGCTGACTTGTCATCATGCCATGAGTTAGGGCAGCAGAGTTCTGGCCGGCAATCTTTTCCTTTTTGATGTCTGTTCTTTTCCTGAAATGTTGTTAGCTTTTCTATTTCAAGGCAGGTGTCAGTGTAGGCATCAAGTGTTCTCAAAGTAACCTAGCTTTTTTTTTAATGAAAAGTTCCTCTGCTATTTTGCTATCAAGACTATGCCACATATCCTACAAAGCTCAGAGATATGGATGTAACTGCTGTGATGCTGTCACAAACCTGACCTGTCAGAATGGAAAGTCATGCTAAGCAAATCGCTCTTTGGAAACAGCCTCTGTTTATTGTGACTTTTTCCCTTGTGTATCGCATGGGAAGTTGCTTTGATTTCCTGTGTTGAGACCGGTGGTCGTTGATGACTTCTGAAATAAAATGACAGACTCTGCTTTAGGCCTTGGCAGCTCTTTCAACTCACTGCTGTATGCAGCCTCATGCATGAGAGTTGTAAAATTAGGAATAATTGAATGGACTTTTCTTAAAATAATAAGTAATGGGTTTTGGAATTATTTCACAATCTCCCAGTTGTGCACCTAGCAGGAAGGGCTGCTTCTTTGGTGGTGGTGAAACATTTTGATCTGTCCAGCCTTGAGCACTGTGCTGGAGAGATGGTGGTCACCAGAAAAAGGAGGAGAGGAGATGTGTGTGTGAGATACTTGTAGTGACCTCTGTAGTCCTGCCATATGCCCATAATGAAGAGATTTCTCTTTTGAGAAGGCAGTTAGGAAGCAGGATGGCAGTGGCAGGTTCTAGCAAGACTGGCTTGAATTCCTTGTTCAAAAACGTTTCATTTTGTGGAACTACTGTGGAATTGTCATGTTCCCAGTGTCTTCATCAAGATGAATGATGCAGCTCATACTTTTAAGTATGGCTTCACAGTGTTTGCAGATGAAGGTGTGCCGTGACAGTGTGTTCTGTATTTGTCTCTCATGTTTGGGGCTGTATTTCTAAACATGCTAGAAAAAAAAAAGGAGGTGGTAGAGGAAGGAAGGCTTTTATTGTTAACCTGATAAGGTCCATAGCAATTACTGTAGAAAGTAGGAAAAGCAAGATGTTGAAGATGCTACTAGCTAGAAACAGACTCACTTAATTTGTTCATTGAATGGGATAGGAGGGTCCTGGGATATGCTGTGACTGTTGTGAACATGAGGGTTGACCTGCTGGAGGTGAGAGCTGAGGACAGGTCTAGCTGACTCCCACCTCTGATGGACCGCTGGACGACCTGACCTGCTCCAGGTTAGAGCAACTGGGAGAATGAAGTACTTCAGCTGTTCTGAGCTGTTCTGTGTTAGGTGTTCCACCTGAGTGCATCAGGCCAAGATGATTATCACTTTTAGCATTGTGTAGCTGAAGTAAAGGTATTTGAGAAATGCTCTTTAGTGGTAATTTTTGCAGACAAACATAACATACTGCATCATAATCTGACACTTCTGCTTTGCTGTGCTAAAGCTTTGCATTCTAATTCAGGCTCCCTCTCTCTCTTTTTGACTTGGATTTTCATACTTGACCTTAATTCAGCTGCCTCTCCAGAAAGCTGGGAATTGGAATCAAGGGTATGTATGTTAATGTCAGAAGAAGCGCTTCTGTCATCTCTGCTGTATGAAGTCCTTGCAAGTGCAAAGGAACGGAGGCTCGAAACTATTCTTATTTTCCTGTATTACTTGTATAGGTGGTAGCATTTTTCACAGGTATGTTCAGTTTTACATTTGTGATGATTGCAGTCTGCTCAGTTGGATGATGGAGGCAGCAGGGCTGGTGCCTGCCTGCTTCCTTGCTTTGCACTGAGAGCTTCGATGCTGGGGCTGCCCTCCTGCAGCAGCGGAATGCCGTGGCAGTGAATCCTTGTTGAAGATCCAGGAAGGGACACCTAGAAATTGATGTGTAGCATCCAGAGGCATCTAGAAGTTTGTGCAGCTCTAACTGGTGTAATGAAATGGCTAGAGACAACAACTTTGTTACTTTTTTAATTATGAAGATGAGTTCTCTGGTTCATAGTCTGGGAAAATTGTTGCTTTTAAGCTGTTTTGGCTTGATGTTTATTGGGAGTTCTGTCAGAGCGAGGCCTGCTTGTGTTTGTGGCCTGTGATTTGGTATTGCATGCAGTGTGTGTGACTGCCGTGCATGCAGACAAAAGCAAATTTCTAAGCATATGCAAAGTAGAGAGACAGATCACTTGAAGCTGAGAAAAATCTTGCTTGTATAAGGGGCTTTAATCATGATGCAGTTTTCTTGGGAGTGGTCTGTTCATCTCACCTTTCTTTTTGCTTTCAAGAATTAAATATGTTTACTTATCCCTTTATCTCTTGTTCTAACTTCTGATCCAGGTACCTACTAATTGTCCAGCTAGAGCTGCTAGGTTGCCTTTTCTCTTTTGTTTCTCCCTGTGACTCTGAAGTGAGAAGCCAGTCCTGACTCTTGGCCTGCAGGAATGTTCCATGTGAGGCTTTGTTCTCAGGCTGGGTCTGCTTTCTCTGCCTGTAAGGGTCTACAGTTGGCTACAGCTAACACTGTCCTAGAGGGCTCCTTTGTTCTCTGATCTAATCCTAACTATTTCTGCAGTAGACGTACAGTGCATGGAGCACCAAAGCTGTTTGAGATTTTGCTTTGGACCTGCCTAGCTATTTAGTGTGCATGTCTAGTATCTGGAGCTTGATATGGTGCTGGATACAGTTTGCAATAGGTTTGTCACTTCTGTTGTTGTGTTTTTGTTGTACTGCAGTTACAAAAGACACAGCTTTATAGTTGGAGGTGTTGGAAGCACATCATGATAGTTGTTGCAGCCTACCTGTGTAGTTGAAGCATAACTTGCAGTAAGGAGGTGTTGGGCCTGGCACTGCTTGGGCGGAGTGGTGGGGAGAAGCGAGCTGTCTCAGGGATCTGTGTTCTGTATTTGGTTCCCGGCGTGAGGTGCTGGTCCAAAGCAGTACATTCTCCAACGCTGCTCTCAGAGAAGTTTCCTTAGAGGTGCTGCTGTGATTCAGCAGCTGTGTGAAGTGTTTCAGGCTTACTTTTGTACCCTGAGATTTGTGTGTTATGAGAGTGGTAGGGAGGCTGGATAGTAGACTTTCAGGTATTGGCTTTCAGCACAGCAGATCCTGTTCTCACAAATTTATCCCATGGGCTGTTCTTTTTCCTAGAGATTCTTAGCTGTGAATGGAAATGAGAAATTGGGGTGAAGGAGCTCTTGAGGCAAAATGCTGCTGCTTGCCTTCTCTTCTGTGTACCTTATCCAAGTCTTCCTTGAGAGCTGGAAACGCCCAAAAATACCACCAATGAAGGTTGCATGTATAAATTACTTTTGCAAAATGAAATGTAATTTGTCTCTTTAAAAACAGTATATTAGTTTGTGCACCTATCAACTGGTGTGAGGAAGAGATACTGATATTTTGGTTTCTGTGCTACGGGTACTTCTGATGGTTTGAGATACCATGACAGGTAATCTTATGCTCTAAATGATTGTGGTCTGCTTTGTTTTGGAAAAAAAAAACCACAAAAAAACAACCAACAATTCTGCAGTTCTTGTGCCTCTCAATTGGAGGGAAGGTGTAGCATGTGAGATTGTACTGTATTGGGCAGGAATTAGCTGTAAGAACCAACATCTAGCAGCAGTCGTGTAAATATAAATGTGTACGTATGTGTGTATATATGTATATAAACACTTAACAACCATGTATTACCTTTGCAGTATAATTAGTTACCCAGATTTTCCAGAAACATTACCACGAAAGCACAGTATATGTTATGATTGAACTAATCTGTTTTTTACCTGAAGATCTTGCTTTCTGCAGGTTGGAAATTTTAACACTGCAACTTCAAACCAGTCTTGTTCTCTGAACACTTCCCAGCCATTCCCAGCCCTTAGTTAATCCTTGTTAAATTGGAGCAGTGTGCTGTTTTGTGGGCAGTTCTTTGACATCAGTGGGGAGACTGGTTGAGCAATGGATTAAGGACAGCAGTGTAAAGCTGGCCCTGAGCTCATGGTTTTACAAGTTGATGCCTGATTGGCAGTGCTGAGGTGCACAGGGGAAGTGTTCAGAAGAAGGTGGAGATTGGATCTGTGGTGTTTGGAGGATGCTGGATTTTGTGGGAATCCAGTGTTACTGCAGATGCTCCTGCCTTGGATGTGTAACCTCTGCCAGTCCTGACTTCACAGTGAACATAAGCAGCTATAGAAGCTCTCTTGAAGCACAATGTAGAAGTGATTAGGAGGCACATGGGATAGAATGGTTAGAAAAAAACATTGGTATAAGTGGTAAGAGAGGCTTCTAGTCTTTTTAGGGACAAATGGGAGGATTAAGACTGTTTGCCAAGAATTGCTGATAGTTACGTATCCAGTTGTGAAATGAAGCAGCTGATATTTCTTCTTGAATGTATGCATAGGACGTGATGATGTCAGGGTTATGTGTCCACAGACACCTGTGGAACTGGCTTCTGTTGTGGGGCTTTAGGGGAGAGGGCAAAGATTTGGTTGTCTACTGGGAAAAGGTCAGCAGAAAGTTGCTGTTTGCTGTCCTTGTTATCCTTGTCTCTGGAGATGAGCCGATGTGGAGAAGGACTGGTGGTTTTTCCAAAGCAGTGTCTGTGCACATGTCCCAGTCTTTCACCCTGCCCACGCTTGCCATGGAGGATTTAATAATGTTGTAGGGTAAGAACTGGGATTGTCATGGCCGAGTTCAGATGAGAGGGGTGAAGTGTTTCAATTTCTGTCTAGAAGGATACAGTAAGTCACTGAATAACTTGTGTGTGTTTTTTTTCACTGCTGCTGAATTTTTTGTCCTCTTATTTTTGTCAAAGTGTGGGACTGATTGAGGCCATGAAAAGCAATTCAGGTTTAGGCAGGAATTTCTTTCTGACAAACAACTAATTGCTGCCTCTCCTCTTCAGAAAGACAAAGCACAAGCGTGTATGTCAGTACTTTGGGTGGTGCTCCCTGAGGTTGCTAAGAGCTCCTTTTCTTGGGACTGTGGCTATTGGCATTTTCTGTAGTTATAAGGAAGAAGGGAAAAGAGAATCAGGCGATAAAGTGCTTTTGTCTAAAGAGGTATTTGTCATATCATATCCATTGCAAAGGTTACTTTGGTTAGCTATGCAGACTTTGCCTTATCTGAGACAAGGATAATAATGGCATGCCGAGAGGAGGAGGATTTTGAAATAACTCCCTTCAGATAGTAGAGTTCTCCACGTTTTGTTTGATGTAATTTTCTTGCTTTCAGACTTTTGGCTTTTCTCTGAATGGCAACATACTGAAAATCTGAAAGCCAAGATGTTCATATGTCAACCAGGAGCCTGCCTAATGCTCTGTAAGAGGTGTTGTGTATGTCAGTTCTTAGCAGTTTGCTCAATGAAGGAACCATCTGAATTAATTCAGACATTTGCAAGCAGTTTTAGATTTCCTGAAGGTGCTGGCATTGTGCTGAGGGCATCGAGTCAATGAAAGCCATCTGAGTCTTGGGAATGTTCCTTCCTGCTGTATTGGTAATGGCCATTCGAATCAAATGGCTGATTGGAAAAGGGAGTCCTGTTAAGTGCCTCCCCCCCTAAGATTCACCTTGTTACCTTTCAAAAAGCAGTCTGAAATGTAAGTAACAGTCCTTCAAAACTTTTAAGTTTGTTTGCTTTTGTTGTGTTTCAATTGAAGATTAGTGGTGATTTGATGCAATTCTAATTCATTGTAAAGTCTATCGTAATGTGGCATCGCACAGCTGAGTGCTGTACAAATGTCTGCTGAAACATTCTCAAAGACAATACTGTTTTTTGCCTTGGCTGTTAAATGGAGCATAGCAGAAAAAGTTGGGATGAATGGAGTGGAGGGACTGTTGGAATTAGCAAATGAAGCTTTTTTGGTGAAATAAAGGAGTTGTAATGCATGCTAAGCATTTATGTTGTCATCCTGACTGGGTTGCACAATATGTACATGTAGGATTGTTTGCAGCAGGCCTTTGTTTTAGTCTTAGACCTTCACCTCTAGGCCTTCCTCTGCTGGGTTGTCTGTGTTGGTTTTGTGCAGCAGCCCTGCAGATGTCACAGAGTGAACAGATGTAGGAAAGACCCTTGGTGAGAAAAGCTGGCAATCTGAATCTGACTTGGAAAGCGTTCTCCATCCCACCCAGCCCTTTACAAGTTAATAGCTAGCACAGAAGAGAATGGCAGCGTTATTTAGGAAAAGGGGAGCTTTTAAACTCATGCTTGTAATACAACACTGATGTAGTGTGTTTTGTATTTTTAATCTGGTTGCATTAATATCTATGAATAGCACAATTAGGTAAGTGTGGTCTCGTTTAACAGATGCCATGGAGGTAGCAGGGGAGCAGAGCACTAACGGTCATTCATTAGTGCTGTAAAGGTGCTCTGCTCTGACAGAGTCAGAGTCATAAAGTAACATCGTGGTTCCTGATGTAGTTTGGGGGTGTTGAAGAGTCAGTGTCAGTGAGTGCTGTCATCTGCATTGGTGCTGGGAATAGCTGCAGTGATTAGTGAGAGCTGCCATTGCCATGGCTGCTCCTGAGAGGAGAGCCTCTGCCTTCTGCTGTGGGACTGTTGTCGCATAGCAACTACTGTGCTGAAAGCTGAAAATCAGATGCTGCCTTGAAGTTGGCTGTGCCCTAATGATGCTTCATGTGTGGTGTGTTCTGTCTTTCTCCTGGCAGTGAGTGTCTTTTGTCAGTGTGCTCTGTAATGTTTGTCACATGCACTTGTTTGTCCCCCAGGCTTAGAAACGTGCAGTGTTGTGCTGTCACTTTTTTACCTAAAGCCCAATTTCATGAAGATTAATTGGTGAATCTCATTGAAGCAAGTTTGGGAGAGGCCAGGCTTGTGCTCAGTGAGTTTTGATAACTGGTAAGGGAAGAGGGGCAGAGCTGCTGTCCCTGCTGTGGGCAGGCAGTGCTGCTGGTCCTGTCCTGCTCCTGTGGGCTGGCACTGCTGTGTCTTGGCCTGCTGTGCCTGGGGAGGGGCTGGGGCTGGGGGTTTGCTGCGGAACTGGGCAAAGAATGAATTAAAGCAGGCAAGAAAACAACTTGTTGGCTTAGTTGCTGTGTTTGGCAGATAAGCCTGCTGTCCTACAAAGAAAGTCGACTGAAGGTATCCAGAATCCTAAGCTGTACGCATTGCTTTGAGGTGTGCTTTGTATGAAAGTCTTTTCCCCCTCCTTGAACATGCTGGTTGGTACTGAGGTGTGTTCTCATTCCTATGCTTGATCCTGAGGATACCAGCATCATTTATCATTGCTGCTTTTTTGGTATGTTCATCTACTTGCACACACAGGTTGGACTGCAGGTTGTGCAGCACTGTGTCAAACACTGCTGCCTGTGCTTAACCAGTGACTCCCATCATTGAATATGTATTTATGCAAGACATTAAAATAGCTTCACTTATAAAAAAATAAATTACTTCAATTATAGGTTGTCATCATCTCATATTTAATTTTACATTCATCTTTTTAAAAAGTGCAAATTAAAAAATACCACTTTTTAATGACTATAACAGTGCCTTCAAAGCTTATCCAAATAGAGATGGATTCTGTAGTTCTTGGTAAGCAGCACTGAGTTGTGTGAGTCATAAAATGCTATTCTGTAAGTGTTGCAGGAACTTGCCCATGATAATTAGCATTTTTCTTACATTAAAGCATTTTTTTAAGTGTTGTGTATGAACGTTTTCCCTGCATTTTTGGAAGCTTGGGTGCCTTCCATCTTAATGAACCATCTTATTCAAAGGTGATCTTTGTGGTTTTTTTTTTTACTTCATTACCTTTTCTTGGGGGTTGCAGAAGTTCTGTAAGGTTAGGAAGTACATTTTATTCCATGTAAAGAGAGGGTCATGTTCTGGCAAAGACTGTAACTTGTGTAAAACATGGACTTCAGGCTTGATAACCAAAATGTTCAAGAGTACATCTTAATTTGAGATGGAGACAAATCACCTAAAGAATGGTGAAAAATGGAAATGGAGAGTGGAGTTGTTTAGATTCATTTTGCTTTTGTGAAAGCAACTTGTGGTTGCCATACATTCATTGAAAGGTACTGTAGTGCCTTATAGTAGTGCTTTGTATATCCATACACAGCCCACATGAGGATTCCTTCTGGCTACCTTTTTTTTTTAGGGCAGGATTTGTAGCTCACTGGAACCAACCCCAGAGGACTGGATCTCTCCTATCCGTGTGTAGTCACCTCTAGGAGTTTATCAGATGGAGTCCCGATGTTTGGGGCTGCTGCTGTTCATCACCTCCCAGTGCTGGGGGTGTCGGAGGTCCCTCTGTGTGCAGGACAGGCAGCACGAGCTGTGTGTGCAGCTGTGCACAGGAGGGGTTGGCCCCTTCCCTTCGCTTTTACGTCGATCATTTCCATATAGTTAAGTGTTGAAACTCATGGTAGGATTGGTAAGATATTTGGGAGCAGCACCTTCTGACCCTGATTGTATTTCTATAATGTTACATATGTGCTTGTTTCTAGGACAAGGAGCGGCAGCTGAAGTTTCCTCATCTTTTGCCATTCTATCTGTCTGTGCTCTGGTAGTACTGGTGGTACTGCTTGCAAACTGTGTCTCCTGCTGCAAAGACCCAGAGATCGATTTCAAGGTAAGCCTTCAAGTTAGAAATGTACGTGCACATGATATTGGCAGCTGCATTCTGGTATTTCTGCCTCACTCTACGTGTTTTCTTCTGAATATCCAGCAGTTGTCTGTCTACACACTTGGGATAGTGCTGTGACTAGATAAGCACTCAGTCTGTGCTGCAGTCAGCATCTTGGGCTTGTCAATATCGTTGCTATCTATTAGGATCAATAGTGAAAGTGTAGTCTTGAGACAGTTTTACTGTAAAGAACCCTTTTTGGGTTTGTTTGTGATAGAATTTAACATATTCCTCTCAGGTAATATTGAAGATGTATATCCAATGTAGCAAATGTGTTGAATTTATTAGCAGAGAGCAGTTTCTTCTGGAACATCAATTATTGGTGTTCATAAATTTGTGTGGCTCGTTTTCTAGGAATATATCTTAAAAAGGTATATATGAAAAAAATGAATAAGGAAAGGCCCTGAAAAATCTAAGTTATTTTTGATAAAGAAATGTAAGCATCAAGTGTTGTCTTTAAGTCAGTGATAAATTGAAAGTAAGAAAAACAAATAATAATTAAAAAAAAAGCTTGTCACTTAGTGATGATGTGAGCCTCCCTGGCACTGTGTGTTCAGATGCAGTGCAATTCCTTTAAACATTGGTGATTTACAGTTTTTCAGGTTTTTAGGTTTCTTTTCATGTTATCAGTTATTGCCCTTAAAAAAGAAGCCCTTTGTATTGGGTCCTAGTTTGTGGTTACTTTGTTGTAGTCTGGTTTATGGATTCAGATAGGAAACCGGAAGAAATACAGTGCTAATTTTAAGCCAATATTAGCTTAATTACCGAGATTTTTATTTCAGGAATTTGAAGATAACTTTGATGATGAAATAGATTTCACGCCCCCAGCAGAAGATACTCCGTCTGTTCAGTCTCCAGCAGAAGTTTTTACTCTTTCAGTTCCCAATATTGCTTTACCAACTCCATCTCAGTTTCCATCTCGTGCAGGTAAATAAACTCTACAGCGAGAAAAGAGAAGTAGGGAATTTATTCTCTAACGTTGTGTAGCTGATTGTGCTTGATTGTCTGTTGTACAGGTTTAACTGCTACAGATGTGAACTAAGTAAATTTATGTAGGGTACAGGATGAAGTCTCTGTGTTTTACCTTAGAGTGGGTGCTTCACAGAGTGGCTGAACAGAATGAGTGTGGCTTGGATCTGCTTAGACTCCTTGCTTTATGTATCACGTCAGGGTTTTAAGTTGCTCTGGGATGTTACTAACTTCTGCTCTGTAGTAGTTCTCTTCACGACTGAGTTGTCGTTGGATTTTATCCATTAGCCTTAAATGGAAGCAAGAGTAAATCTCTTACTTGACAGCAGTGCTACTGTGTGGGCTGCATCACTTTCTTAGTGTCACTGTGAGCTTCTCATGCTGTAGATGTGGTATTGGTAAGAGGACATTTTATTTTGCTTATGTGAAAGAATTTTGGGAATGTATTCCTTAAGACAGTTTCTGTTTAAAAAAAAAAAAAAAAGGAAAAAGAAACTAAGTCTCTTTATTAGTATTTCTAGCTGATTAGCAGAGAGATAAACACTGCTGAATCTCTTCTATAGTGCAGAGTCTGCCATTGTTGCTGTCCATCCTCTGCCAGGATTTTTTGTCTTGTTTTGTCCTCTGCCTATGTTCTTTATGTAAATTATTTTTAGTCAGAAAGTGTCCTCCTTCCAGATGGTAGCTGTAAGTAGGGCAGCTGGGCTAAAGAATAAAGCAATTCAACCCATTCTCTTAAAACAGTAACTTTAACTGTTCAAATGTAGAAGCAGTGAGTATTTCAGGTTTTTTTCTGTTTCCATAGGGAACTTTTCTGTGTGAGTTATTCACTTTGCCCAACTATAGTGTATGTATTGGGACTGAATTCAGCTTTCTTACTGAACGTGTTAAAAAGGTGTATGTGTGGTAAGGACTGTCTGTGGTGGCAGTGGGTGTTCTATAGTACAAGTGGTTTAGAAGCTGAGAAGTTTTTCCCTAGCACTTTGTCACAACGTTACCTTCACTCTTGCCTGTGTCTGTTTTGTTGCTTAGCCTGAATGTGTGCGTTCATTGGGAATAAATATTGTAAACGCTTGTATTGTTTCCTCCACTGCTCAATAACTGGCAATCTGAGTGGCTTGGTGTGTCTAACATTTCTTCTGTTGTGTATGACAGATGGATCAAAGTCTCAAGTTGCACGTCAGAGTCTAAACTACATCCAGGAAATTGGAAATGGCTGGTTTGGAAAGGTGAGAAGTCTTCTAATATTGTACTGCAGTTAAAATTATAGTCCAAACTAACTAGACTAGTGTATTTCCTTCAAAAGAATATCATAAGAAACTGAGGTTTACTTTTTAGCTGTGATTAATACTGCTTTAATATACCTGTAGTTTCTACAAAGCCATTTAGTATCTAATATTCAATTCCATGCAATTGAATTCATACATTCTGTTACCACCAATGCTTTCCAGGAAAAAGTCTTAATAAATGCTCTTTGCAAGAAGAGGTGTTTTCTGAAAATGGATGGGTAATGAGTTGTCAGGATTTATGAAGTATGGACATCTACGTGCATTGACAAGCCAGAAAATCTTTGTTTTTAGCTCTTGTTTCTTTTTGTAGAGAAACTCATTTTTTTGGCCTCTGATTAAAGGCACAGTGATTATAATTTTTCAGGTCCTGCTTGGAGAAATCTACACAGGCAGTAGTGTGGCACGAGTGATAGTGAAGGAGTTAAAAGCAAGTGCGGGTCTCAAGGAGCAAGAACAGTTTTTAAGAAGTGGAGAACCATACTAGTAAGTAATATTCTGTAACTTGGTTACCGCAAGCACTTCATACTACTGCTTATGAGTTACACAGGTTTTTAAGTTTTATTTCTCTGCTTACCCTTTTTTATAAATTAAATTCTTGTCTCTAAGGTATGAAATACAACTGATCCAAAATGAACAAGATTTGAGTTTGCTTAGATAATAAGCTCTTTGCTTAAATGCTTGGTAGTAATTTGTTCGTGACTGGAAAACACTTGATTTAGTTCATCAGATATTCTGCTGCAGCTGTTCAGAAAAATCCTGGTGTTGCAAACCAACTCCATGTCTAAGTACTTGCTTCTAAGAGCTGAGCTTTGTCTTGTGCTTGGATTTCCTGTTAGAGTAGAAGAACTGGCAGTGTGTTGTGTTACCGTGTATGCGTAAAGTTCTTTGAAGTTTCCATGTTCAAAAGAATTAAATACAGCATAGTGCTAAAACTAATTCTGCTCCGAAAGCTTGCAGTGGGGCTTGTGCAGAAATAAAGCATTTACAATGGCATTAACTTCTGTCCAGTAGTACTCCACAGATCAGAAATGATTAGCCTGAAAGAAAATGCTAACAAAATAGTGTTACTTGGTGTTTTCTTCCTTGTGTGTTATGGTTGGAAGATTTCTGTACAATTTGCTTCCTGAAATTGAGTCTTTACCTACTAGAGAGGAGTTTGGTGCATGCTAAAGGGAGGGTAATTTCTCTTCTTATGTTTTGGGAATGATGAGAGTCCTCCAAAGAGCTCTATGGATGAGTGGAATAGAGAAAGGAGTATCATGCATTCCTTAAGGTGTGGCTTATCTTGCCTGAATGTGCTACAAATGAGTGGTCATAGAGAGCTTTCTTCTCTCAGTTCTTTCTCTTGCCCTAGTTAGTTTGCATTTAGGCTTAAATTGTTGGCAGCTGTCAGAAGATGAAATCTCATGCCTTCTGCTGCATTGGCACGAGTGCTTTTTATGAAAGTTAGAAGAAGAAACTGATCTGTCTGGGAACTATCCTGGCTAACAAAAAGGTTTAGCTTTTAGCCAGATCAGTTCCTTAAGCATAGTTCATGAACCAGTTGCATGCATGAACGTTTAGTTTTGGTACGAGGGAATGATGGGAATGGAAGGATAGGTGAGACGTTTTTGTGGCAGTGTCAGGTTTGTGGTTTTGCTATCCTGCAAATTTCAGCTGCTTTCAATGATATGCTGCCACAGTACAGAGAAGATATAAAGGTGCAAAAAGAATCTGTCTTTGGATACTTGCACCTTCTGTTCATGCTGCCTCCAGTTATGTATTGAAATTTGCAGTTGAGGTTTCAGTGTGTTATGTTATACTGAAAATAATGCTGTAGTCTTTCTGACTTTAACTGTGTTTTCACTCCAGCATTCTTCAGCATCCAAATGTTCTCCAGTGTATTGGGCAATGTGTGGAAGCCATTCCTTATCTCCTAGTCTTTGAGTTCTGTGACTTGGTAAGTGCACTTGTACAGAAGACTGCTGTTGTTTTTCTGTTAGTGTAAATGTTACGTCATGTATTTAGTCACAAAAGTATTCCTATTTTTCCTTTAGGGGATTTTTTTCAAATAATCAATATTTCAGAAAACATTTTTGCTTCAGGGGCAGATGGCAGAAGTGCAGTTTTTTAAATTTCTTTTTATTTATCATATAAATCATGGGTTCCTGTGGAATGTTATTAGGAAGAAACTAGCTGATCTATCTTTTCTTTGCTGATGGATTTATTAGTTTCTTGCAGTCGACCTATGTCATGTAACAGGGAGCTTGGAGGTGAAAGGAGGTCGCAGAACAACACTTCTTATTGCAGTTCAGTGTCATGCACATGCTCAGTCACATCCTAACTTAAATACTAAATTTTGTTTGCTGCCTTTGAAACTTTGACATGCCATAAATATGACTCCTAAGCAAATATTAATTGAAGAAACTGAGAGGATTTCCTTCCTCCTGCCTTTTCCCCCTCCAGAGTGCCCAAATTTTACTTGTGCCATGCAGCTAAACTTGGGTGTTGGGTTGATTTCCAGAATCTGTAACGAGTGTACTCCAGTAGTTGGAGTTTTCAGTATCATCCTGTGCTCTTACTGATCCTTTCTGCTACTATGTTCTTTTAACTTGCCTTCCTACTTTCTTGTCCTTTTCTTTCCCTTCTTTCCCAACATTGACATCTACCTTGCACTCCTCCTTTCTGGTCACCTTAGAAATGCTAAGAGCACTCTGGGGGGTGGTCTCATTGCTTTCTGTGCTGCTCTTGCTGCTGCAAAGGCCACTGAAGATGGAAGGGGTAATTGCACAAACATCTTGCTCAGTCACAGCGTTCCTGGGCATATGCTGGAATTTGCATGATCTTTGTGACGAAGGGGATGCTGTGTGTGTAGGAACTGAGGGCTGTGCCTGCTATTACAGAAACTTCACAAACTAAAATGTGGACATGGCGGTGAAACCCTGTTCTGCAGAGACTTGAATTGCTTTATTGTAGCACAGCATCAAAAATAAAACAGACAAATCCCTGAGCTGCAGGTGGATGTCTGAAAATAGGCTCAATAGCTGCTTTTAATGTTTGTAATCTAAATATTGAAAGCCAAGTTGAAAAATGCTAAGGCAGAAGTGGTCTCAGAAGTGACTATGTGTGTTACTAAGTCCTTGAGAAGAAACGAGTTTGTATTTATAAAATTCAACATGGTCCTTCTTCACCTGCTTCGCCACTACAGTTTCTTTAATTTGAGGCACACAAATAGGGCTCCAGTTGCACTGGATGCCTCGGGCATTTTAAATCAGTGTGTGCATGAACTTTGAGTTTTCTTGTAAAAACATCAATCTGTGGCCTTAAATAATGGTATTCTACTAGCTGGGTGAACCAATGAGCCAAATGCTGATAAAATTATTCTTTTTTCCTATGGGAGAAAGAATTGGAATGATTGATCGGGGTGAATTGTTAGGTTTTTGGTCAAGAACTCAAAAGTGCGTGCTGAAGGTGAAGCAGATAGTGTTTGTTTTTTTCAGTGTGCAGGAATGGAATACTTTGTACTGATTTTAAGTTGACACTTGAGCTGTAGTTTCTTTTAAAAGGACCTTTGAAAAAGAATATAAGGTTTGTTAGTAGATAGACATCTAAATATTTAATCAGATTTAACTACTGCCATGATTTAAAATATTTACATGATTTAATCTGATTTTGAATTCAGAGTAACTTGTGAAGATTGCCCTACTTCAAGAATATATTTAAAAAAATCTTGGTTTGCCTGATGATTAGTGCCAAAAATTGTCATGATCCTGCAGAGTAATCTGGAAGGGATTTGACTTAAGGAGATAAAATAGATTTTCACTTTAACTTGGGGCAGTAAGCCCGACAGCCAGAATGCTAACTCTATACATTTGTGTGTAGCTAGATAATGTCAGTGAAATGTAGAATAGATGTCTTGCTTACTCTATTCAAAGAGAACCAAAGCTTGTTTTTTAGAGTATTCTATGTTGTAGTGTGCTGTAGGTGACTTCCACGCTGAAAGCCTGGCTCACCTGAAGTGTTCATACTTAGCAGAACTGAGTATCTGCTTGAGATGATCGTGCTTTTTTCACTGTGCGCACAAATACACAGGGCTAGGCAGGCCAGGTAGAGCTCACTTAAAATAGCTGTATGCAGAGGTTGAGGTGAGTGCAGTGTTAGCTCTGTTATCGCCGTGTCACTGACTTCTGTTGTGGTCTTTGGGCCTCTGTGGGAGGGAGCAATACTGAAGTGATGGGAGATGAGAGATGTGATGGAGGGAGGGATGTGCAGGAAGGCAGACAGCACAGTTTGGAATTAAAAGAGGGTATGGCTAGGTAGTTTGCCTTAGTAGACAGTTGTTTGATAATTTATTTTTATTTTCAGTAGGCTAATACTCTAAAAGCTGCTTTTATTATTGTGATTGGGATGGCAGTTACTTGGATTTTTCAGGGTTCTAGTAAGTGATCTTACTAGAGGTGAAAATGTTTTCTGTAGCTTTTTTTTCGTGAAATTGGGCAGTCCAGTAAATATGGAGGTGCTTCCAAAATGTGCCAGTATGAAGCTGTTCAGCTGGAAGGCTGTAGGAAAGAAGGCTGCTGAGGTTGGCTGAAGGTTCCAGTGTCTGGTGGCTGCGTGCTGTTCAAATAGTAAGGGTGGCAAATGTGCTGTTTTTCTGGTTGCAGTACAATGCTGTGCTAAAGCTCTTTACCTTAAGTTACTGGTGCTGTATATACATATACAACCATGAAAAAAACTGCTTTGATCTATGGTACTTGATATGATTGAGATGGCTTTAGTATAAAGGTAGTGAATATGTTGGCTGGATTGTATAGGAAATTCTCTTCAGATGTCAAGCTCTTTGAGGTTCTTCCAGCCACACGGATTTTTCTTTGCAAGTTGGTATGTTGAGTAATGAGAAGTGTGGCTGGTCTACTGTTCAGAACTGTGTCTATAGGGTGTTTTCTTCATGCTCCTTGAAAATCATTGGATATTATAAAGGATTGAATATCATAAAGTTTTGCAACTTTTCCTGTTTGGATCTGTAGCCTTTATGGGGCCTCTTGATGTTGGCTGTGCTCAGGTAGCCCTGTTGGATTTAGCAGCTCCCAGGTTCCTTGATAACAAAAGGTGATGATCAGAAGTACTGGAAACTGCAGTGCAGATAGAGCTGACTGCCATGGTAGGAGTCCTGAATGTCACTTGAGCTCAGTTACTTGTTTTCTTGGCCATAAAAGCTACTCAAGGTATTTCTCAGGACGGCCTGGTTGTATACACAGTAGCTATATTTGCTAGCTTTTAACGTGTTCTGTGCTGTAATCCAAGCTGTTCTGCATCCCTTGTTTTAAAGAGCTGAGCAAGAAGCAAGCAGGCAGTTGTGCATACGTAATTGAAAGGCTTCAGTCTTAATTTTTCTTCATCTGTATTACAGTTGTTTAACTTTGTTAATTGACAATTATCAGAAGAAATAACAAGTTCTTCAAAGATCCTGCATTAGGTTGCTTAGTGTGTTAGTGCTGTCTTACTAGGCAGCTATTAAAGGCTGTAGAATGATGCCAGGTTAAAAATAGTGGTAGCTGGCTTATTAACTTTAATATATTACTTGGTCATGCATGGCCAGCATTTTGTCAGCACAGCAACTCCTCTAATGAATGGACATAATTTATGAGTAAGGGAAAGTTATTCAAATGAGGAAGTAGCATGTATATGCTGAGGCTGATTTGCCTATCAAATGGTTCTTGAAGAAATATTTTACAATTCCCTGAGCAGATGAGATCAGCAGCATGCAGGATTTGCCCGGAATGCCCTGTAGCTTGCTTCAGGGATGCTGTTACTGGGAGGTGCCTGCTTGCAGTAGTTTTCTTTCTTTTGTTCGGCCTTTCTGATTACTGCCACTTGAAAGCATTGTTCTCAAATAAAAACTAAAAAAAACCAAAAAACTTGGCAATGAAAACTTACCTAGAGTTCAGCAAATATATTTAATAATCATAAGAGAAAACTAGAGGGTTGATAGATTGTGGCAGCATCAGAAATAATGTCTGTTGGGTCCAAAGATTTCTTGTTGTCAGAACTGCATAATATTTCTTAAACTTACACTTTAACAACTTTCTACGGGTATAAAGGATGTGTACTGTTAATATTTTAACAGCAGTCATTACAGGTACGTATACAGTGGAGCAATGTTGGAGTAGAGAGGCAGAAGTAATATTTTCATTCTCTTAATTACATGGTGTTATGTGGCTTGGCAGGTAGCTTTCCAGCTTGGTAAGGAGTGTTGTGTGGGGGGAATAATTTGGTAATTTTTTTACACTTCTCAAACTCCTACTGTCAGTACCTGCTGGTTTGAAGAGTCACGTCAGCTGTTTGGGTGTCCTTGTGGACCAAACTGGGACTTGCACAACCCAGAAAGCTACAGAAGAATACTGCAGATAAATAATGTCCCTGGCTTCTAGCGGTTGGGATGGTGGTGGGAATAAGTCTCAGTATGTTGCTCTTTACAAAGAAGACTGATCCTGGCTAGAACTGAGAGGGGGTGGAAGGAAAAGTGTAATTTAGTTCTTCATTGATTCCCAAGAGAAAAGATAGGAGGCAGTGGCAGAACAAGCAGAGCCTTCCTGAAGTGTGATTTAGGTATCTGAGCAAGGAATTTTGCATAGCTGTGTTTACTCAGATGTATAAACTTTGAAGTTTACTGCATTAAAAACCTCTGTCCAATGAAGGGCTCTTTTGTGGCTCATATAATATTAATTTTGTTGTTGCACTGCTGCTGTCTGCTGGTAGGCAGGGAGGTGTAGAATAATTCAGGCTGGAAGGGAACCTCAGGAGCTCTCCAGTTCAGCCTCCTGCTCAAAGCAGCATTGCAGACCAGGAGGTACAGGAGCACTTCTTCCACCCTGCGCAGCTCCATCTGGGTGGCAGTCCAGCACTTGAAGGTATTCATCAGTATCCCCCAAGTTTGGCATAAGTACTGTCTTAAACCAGTACCAAATAGCAATTCTATATTTTACTCTTGAATGTTGCTATAAATTGGATGGAGAAAACAACCGATATGATTTGACATGCTAGATTTAATGCAAGTTGCATATCCTACAAGAATGTGTGTCTACATGAATTATTTATTAAAGAAGGGATGCCATGCAGCACTGCTGTTACTAATGCATTTAAAAATTAAAAAGTAATTCCTTTGTGCACCTAAAGGCATCCCAGGAACTTAATCCAACTGGGACAACCTGTAAACAGGCAGTTGCTGTTTTAATAGTGAGGACAGTTTCCCAACAGGTAGTTTGCCTTTCCTCAGCAGCATGCTGCCACCTAGGGCTGACATTGGTGTGTTGTGCTCTGTTGTGTTTGTTTCCCTGTGGGATAGGGAATCTGTTATGGACACTGTTCATTTGGGAGTTCTGAGTTCTGCTCAAGCAAGATAGAAAGGCAGATGTGTGCTTATACGTGTTTATATACTTAAGTGTAGTGATTTTTGCTCTTACCTTCTGTAAAGAAGCACATTTTAGCCAGTGCATAGACTGCTGCCTTGTCTGTACAACCTCAAGACCTCCTTTCACTCTCCCTTCAAGTCCAAGCTGAGGCACTGGTGACTTGTGCAGTTAAAGCCCAATCAATATGTTACACCAGTGAAGTAAGTTGATGGAAAGTATTGTGCAGCTTTCATACAATTCATTTTCTTCTAAAACAAAAATGCCTTCTCAAGCCATTTGCTTGATAGGAGTGGGCTGTATTACTGTGCTCTTTTATCCCTGGAGCTCCCTGATGAGCCAGCAGTGGCTGAAATTGTTGCCTCTCTCTCCCATCCCCTTGTGTATTCCAGTCAGTTTTGCTGAATGGGAGCACTTGCAATTTTGACTTATCCTGTTTAAAAACAGAAGCTCATCATATTTTTACTGGGAGGTATTATTGTTTGACAGTTATGGTTGTTTTGTGGTAGTGTAATCTAGCTGTTAATTACTAAATGATGTGATTTAAAAACCCTTAAAAGGATGTACCAGCTGCCTTGAATAACTTCTCTATGTATCCTGATGGTGATGGGAAACTTGAAATTCTTTATTAAGCACAGATCTGTTTGTATCTAGTGCTAGCCTTGTCGACTGATAAAGCAAGAGATGTTGTTAGGTGGCTTTTCATTAAATACTTTTGAGATTCACTCAACACACAGCACTGGTCAGTATTTTCAACTTCTTTTACAGGGTGACCTGAAAACTTACATCTGCAATGAGCAGGACCACATTAGAGGAGATTCACAAATCATGCTGCTACAGAGAATGGCATGTGAGATTGCTGCTGGACTTGCTGTAATGCATAAACATAATTTTGTGCATAGGTATGTTTTCCAAATAAATTACTTTTTCCTTAGGTTACACTTCAGAATTTATATGGATATTTTCATTAAAATAAGCATGCATTCAAGACTGTGCTTTGTCCGTATTTCTGTGGTGTAAATCATAAAGGTGTGATGCTTATGGTGATGCTGATTGGTGTGGTTGTACAGCTCTCACCTGCCTTTGGGCTCTGCAGCCCATAGAGCACAGCTTTCTGCAAAGCCAGTGCAGAAGACATAGTTGTTTGATTAATTCTTAGAGAAGTTAAATAAGTTTTGTTGGGAAGGGAGGGCGTAATTAGAATTTTGATAAGTCTGACTGTACTTTGATGGCTTACAGCAGTGTAGAACTTTTGGTAGCATGTTAGCTTTGATACTAAACATGGAAGTTGCTGCTTTCCTGATATAGTAAGGGAGAAGCTGAGGTAAAATGAAAAAATGTGAAGCAGGGTATCTCTCACTAAATCATTCTTCATGCAGCCTCTCAGTCTTCAGAAATGGAGCTAGGCAGAATTGGTAGAGACTATAAGGGGAGAGAATATTCATTTCAGGAGATAAACCCAGAATTTCTTGTAGTTAAAGATGGTGCAGTTACTGTGAAAGAATGGCAGTAGTTGTAAGAGGTCTGAAAAAATGTTCGTGAAACTAACTGCTCTGAATTATGCCAGAGTTTATGATTAAAAACACATGAAGGAACTGGAGCACATCCACTTTAGACTTGGAGTGACTCAAGTATTGGCGTAGTTGCTCCCCAAATGTGGCTTACCTGGTGCAACCATTAGTGTCACAGCATCGTTTCCTGGTGGTGATGGTTGTTGGATCAGTTGGTTCTTGGTGGTAGAAATACAACTTGCATCATTTCTATAAGCAAGTTAAGGACTTGTGCTAGAGTTTGTCAGTGCACACTGTGCTGTTTAGGGGAAACTATTAAACTTCACTCTTAGTTGGTGTAAAACAACAAAATTGAGCATTGTTAAACCTGCTTAATTAACCACTGCAAATGACTTGAAGGTAGTACCAGTTGTGCCTATTACACTGACTGATGGCTGTTTCTTGTACTGCAGCAGCGTGGCTTTGTAGGTATTAAATTCTATCAGAATATTTTCAGTTAAATACACTTAAAGTTGATAAATTATTCTGTGGATCTGCAGAAGTCTAGCAGCACTATCCTGATGCTGTCAGAGTAAGTAAGTGGTAAAGCTCCAGCATCAGTGATTTTGTTGTTAGTGGTAAATTCAAGCAACTGAAGATATGTATTCTCTTTTAGGATATTTAAATAGTGTGAAATAAACTGAAGAGTTCTGGGGTGTACTTCAAGCTTAAATACGGGCTTCTGTCCTATGAAATGCAGTGATTCTGGAAGGAAAAATAATTCCTTATTCCTTTAAGTAGAGAAATCATGTAGTTTCCAGACCGTGCACTTGGGAAATTTTTCTTTTAATGCACACAGAAGCAGTGGTACAGTTCTTCTGGTGCACTTCCAGTTATGCTTGTACTAATTTCTGAGTTTGCACAGTGGGCTGAGGCAGCTTCTTGTTATTACAACAGCACTGTAATAACCACTGTGAGTGGTTGTGGTCTGGGTTATGGCAGAAACTGGAAGTGCATTTTCAAGAGTCTTTTGTTTCCTTTACCAAAGGAACTTGGATTTGATTGTTAAAGGAACTTCTATGAAATGCATGACTACTTCTGATGGTCTTTGTCAGACACCGTAGTTCTTGTTCAAAGAACTGTATGACTATTATTTATTTAGAGGAATTTAGCTGTGAATGTAAGATAACACTGGTTGCTTAGTGTCATATTGAAAGTTGGTAGTATTTAAACCTGGTGTGAGTTGTTGGTAGTCTTTGCTTCTGACAGAGAAGCTGGCAGGCATGCAGTGACAGGTGGGGTGAGGTGGGGCTGACGTTGCTCCAGTGTGTGACAGTCCTGAATGATCTGCACTGTAGAATAAGCAGAATGCAATGGTTGCATATAAGTACTCTGTGACATGGTCTACACTTCTAGGAGTATCTTTCAACCACAGGTGTCATTCTGAACTTTATTTTGTGAAGGACAGTGTGAGTTGTATCAGGCTTTTAAAATGATAATTTAGTCTTAGCCTGCAGTAGTTTAATCATGCCAATGTAACCTACTATTGATTTGAAGTCACTTTCTAATATTTCAGGCTTTGTATGTAAAAGTAACCATCATCATATTTAGTTTGGCTCAAAATTGTTATTTTTAAAATGAATCTCCCCATGTGGTTGGTTATTGGGCATGGGTATGTCCTGCTGCTTGCTGTTGTATTGTGTGCCTGTGTGTAACTGGTTATCTTTGGAAGATGGTTTTTTTTATCTGATACTCCGAGTTGTGGCCTGACTCCTCTAAAGCATTCCTTTTTTTAACCCGTTGGTCTTACTTTGGGTTGAAGACTCACTGTTTATTTGCTTGCTTTTGCAGTGACTTGGCCTTACGAAATTGCTTTCTTACGTCTGATTTAAATGTCAAAGTAGGAGATTATGGTATAGGATTCAGTAGGTACAAGGTAAGTTAATCTAGTCACCTACCAATTTTTTGTAAGGGTTTGGGAGTGTAAGGTCATAACGAGAATGTTTTAAGGTTGTGATTTGATAGTAGATTTTTCTTTGATTATTGGATGTTCAGAGAATAGCTGGCAAATAACTGTAGCAAGCCTCATGCAGCAGAATAGCTGATCTTTCCAGAAGTGGAGCTTATAGAAACTGCTTGTTAAGTTTAAATGTATGTGTTCGTTTATATGTTAATATGCAGTAGTCCTAAAATAGTAATGGCAGGTGTTATGCAAAAATTCACTTTAACATTTTAAGAAAAGAAAATGCAATGACATTTAAAGAAAATGTTTTAAATACTTAAGAATACTGAGAAGGTGAAAAATGAAAAGCATGCATTGGAAAGTTTTACTCATTGGAAAGAGTAGCAAATCCTAAACAAGAAGTTGGTGTTCAGTTTTATTGTGCAGTGAGTACTTTTTTCTATAGCACTTTCTCTGCTACTTGGGTAAAATGGGATTTATTTCAGTTCTCGTTTTTACACACAGTGATCACATAAAACCAGGCTGAGGAAAAGTTTGTCAGGTTCTGGAAGTAGATTCAATGTTTTTTCTGTTTTTTTTTCCTTCAATAATATAGGAAGATTATATTGAGACAGATGGGAAGAAACTTGTTCCTCTCCGATGGACTGCACCTGAGTTAGTAACGAGTTTTCAAGACAAACTGTTATCAGCAGAGCAAAATAAATACAGTAACATATGGTATGTAGCAAATTTTAAAATGATTTCAGTGTTAGATTTTGGAATAAATTTTCAAAGACTATATGAAGAAATAAATGATATTTAAAGTTAAATTGAATGTTGGCCAAGTACGCAACTTGTTGATTTTATCAAATGTACAGTAGGATAATCTCTACAAATCTGAAACTTCATCTTGCTTTGGAAAGCAGCTTAGAAGTGTGCTGTGAGAAAAACCAGATTAAGAAAAAAAAAGCAGAAAAAAAAAGCATTAATAAAAAGATGTTTGACAGATGTCTTCAAGAGTTAGTGAAGGAAGGAAATAGTGAATATTTTTTTGCATTAATATATAATAGCTGTAGATGATCTAAAAACATACTGAAGTTGATCCCACTAGAACTCAACTAAGTTTAACTGGTAGAAATGTTTCATGCTGTAATGTTTGAGGGCTGCAGTTAACTGCCTCTGTTACCAAAGAGCTATAGAGGGACTGGAGAAAATCTTGATGAGGAATTTTTTTTAAGTCATCAAGTTCCCCTTGAATTCCAAGGAAATTTGAGGGATGGAATTTGTGGCTTAGGCTGACAGTTCTTGAAAACATCTAAGGGTATTAAATAATAAATTGTTTTATTTTTTAATGTAAACCTAGGTTTACAGAAAGATGTGTAGAAATGATCTAAGTACTTTTTCTTGCATCCTTCAAGCAAAGTTCCTTGGATTGTACTTTTAATCTAAACTACCAGCAGCCAGGGCCTTAAGCATCCCGAATTTTAGTGCCTTTTATACAGAGCTGCTTTGTATAAGTTGCTACTAGATTACTTCCAGAGACCTCTTCTGAACTAAGTAGTTCTATGGTAATTCATGTAGAGTCAGTTACTTTGCATTTTGAGGAAGTAAAGGTAGTCCAAAGAATTGGGATGAACTCCTAATCACTGAAAATATGGTTAATGTAGTATGTAGCACTGAACAAATACAGTACTTCCCAGTTCTGCAGCTTCAAAAATACCAGTTTAAAGAAAACTGACACATATTTGCTTTCTAGTGATCTAACTTGTAACTGCAATTTCTGACTAAAGATTTCCTTTCCTACTGTTATACTAACCATAAGGTTATGCTTTTTAATATGCAAGAGTTTCTTCCACAGATCAGTCATTTGCAACCTCATGTGTTTTGTTACCTTTATTGGCATTGCTTTAAAGAGCTTGGCTCTTAAGACTTCTAACATTCCATCAAATGCAATTAAAATGAGTTAACGGGTTCTAAAATTCCTGTTGAGCCAATAGGAGAATGATATTTGGTGGTTCTTGTAGATTGTTTATGTAGTATTTATTTTCTTACAGCAATTTTAAAATAGTTCTTGGAATGTACTGTCATTCTGCTGCTCTTTTCCAGGTCCCTGGGTGTGACGTTATGGGAGCTGTTTGAGAATGCTGCTCAGCCTTACTCAGATTTCTCTGACAGGGAAGTGTTAACCCATGTCATAAAAGAGAAGCAGGTTAAACTTTTTAAGCCACATCTGGAGCAGCCATACTCTGATAGATGGTAAACTTCAACTTTTTAAATTTATTTTTAAAGCTGGTAAAGATGTTTTTCGTACTATCCATTTCTCTTAGAAGTATATTGAAATTATTGTAAGTTACTGACAAAGAAACATTAGAGAGAAATGAGAGGAATTGCTGTAGATTCAAATTCCTGTCAGTAATATGTTTTGCTCTTTAGTTCATTGATTATCTAATTACTATAAATTGCTTTTGATATGGAAAGTATTGAAACATATTCTTTTCTTGTTTGCACAGGTATGAAGTTCTGCAATTCTGCTGGCTACCTCCAGAGAAGAGACCAACAGCAGAAGAAGTGCATAGACTTCTAACTTACCTTCGCATGCAAAGCCAAAGGGACTCAGAGATTGATTTTGAACAGCAATGGAATGCTCTTAAACCAAACACCTCAAATAGAGAAACAAATAATTCTGCATTTCCAATCTTAGATCACTTCACAGGAGATAGACTTGGCCATGAAATGGAGGAGGTTCTTACTGTAACTGAAACAAGCCAGGGTCTGAGCTTTGAATATATCTGGGAAGCAGCTAAACATGATCATTTTGATGAGTGTGGTCATGTGAATCCTGATGAAGCAATGACATACACAAGTATTTTCTTTCCAGTGGAGGTTTTTGAAAGGTCCCTTTCAGAGCAAGGGCCAGGAGCACAGGATGGAAGTGGTCAGGAAGCATCACGAGCTGTTCCTGGGGTGTTACCTGTGTTTGATGCACACAAACTTTCAGTTGGAAATGACTACTATATCCAGTTAGAGGAAAAAGGTAGTGGCTGCAGCATGAATTTCGATAACCAATCAGTTGTACTGACTACAGAAGTTGATCAAGAAGCTGTACAAGAAAAAAGTTCTCATTTCATGGTTCTCAGGGATCTTGATGTTGAAGAATCTAGCACTGATGGGGACTTCTTCCACTACAATACAGATCCCAAAGAGGAATTTTTACCTGCTACTAGTAGTCCAGAAAGTCCTTTCCAAAGTATATTTAATGACATTGACAGATCAGAAGAATTAATAAATAAAAAAGTACTTGGTTTTGCTGAAACAAATAATATTCCTAAAGACTTTAAACCAACTGTTTTAAACTCAAACACAGATATTACGAATGTCACAGGTTTTGGTGAGAAAGAGCATTCTACTCATGCTTCTGAAAACAAAACAGTTGCTGTATGTGAAAACATCTCTAACCAGTCTGAGTTGGTAACTTTAGAAGAACTTTCTGATAACTTCTTGTTTCTTCAAGAGAAAAACTTATTAACGGGGATACTGCCTAATAAAACCAGCAGTGATTTTGGGCAAAAAACAGAAGCTGTTCTAAAAACCACAAGTAGGAGCTCTGTAGAGCCTGAGCCTGTATTGGCTGAGAATGTGCAGGTCTTTTCTTTAATACATGAAAATTCTGGAACTGTGAAAGATGAAAACTTTAACCCAGTAGCAGTGGATAAAGATACAAATTCTCAGTGTCAGACTACCAGAGAGATAGAGGCATCCTCTAGTCCACCTGCAGTGTATAAGTTGCATGATAAAGATACAAGTCTTCCTTATTTGAAGGATGAGAGGAAACTTTCAAATGTGGAAGTCAACCAAGCCTTGTTCTGTAACACTGATACTTTCTTTCAAGAGCTGTCCAGTAATGCAAAAAATAATAATGTTGGAAAGAATTCATATTACAGCACTGCTGCTGAAGCAGATCAGAGTGATGTACAAATAAAACAGGGAATACTTTCCGAGTCTGATGAAATAGCTCTTAATAGGGAAAAATGGGATCAGGAAGGTATGGAAAGAAACTTGCAATGTAAGTCTCCCATACTTAAAAAAGATGAAGATTTGTTAGAGGAAAGACAGGAAACATCCAATAATTTTGAGAACTGTAAGGACGTTCCAGAAGAGGTGATCTTAATTTCTGTTGGTGCTTCAGACTGCGCAAGTCAGGACAGTCTTTTGGAAGATAGCCCATCTCCTAGGGAAACTGTAGACCAAGTCTTAGAGACGCCTGATTCTTTGGATTCTTTAGATGTAATAGAAGTTTTAGAATCCTTACAGGCTCAAAGTCCTCAAAAACTTTTGCCTCCTGATAAGCCTGCTGACAGCGGCTATGAAACAGAGAATCTGGAGTCTCCAGAATGGACTTCCCATGTTACTGTTGAGGATGCTTCCAGTGGGGATACTGCTCACTGTGGTGTCAGTGACAGCAGTGTCAATGATCTGCCTTCTAATCCAGTCATAATTGTTTCAGAAGCAGCACCTTGCTTAGATGCAGTAAACAGCAACTTTGAAATAACCCCATTATCAAATCAAAATTCATACAGAGACTCTGCCTATTTCTCTGATAATGATTCCGAGCCAGATAAGAAAACAGAAGAGACTGTAAATCTATCAAGGGAGACTACCTGTGGTGCTTCTTCAAATAGAGGAGAAAATAATAATGAGAAGGATTACTGTTTGGAAGAGAGACCGCAAAAGCACAATGTAAGGAATTACCAGGATACCTGTATTCAGAATATAAAACCTGAACTGAATTGTAAGATAGAGAGGGAAGAGCTGGATGTAAGGGTGGAGGGATGTCCTGAGGAGTGGACTGAGGCAACTCTGAATTCCCTGGAGATATCAATGGGAGATAATGTGAGGGATGAAATAAAGCCCTCTGAGACTTGCCATAAAAGTGTCTCTTGCGTTGGCACCAACACTTCAGAACTTCTTTCACACAGAGACTTTAAGTCTGTGCATAACATACACAATTCTTTAGATTCCAATGATAGTGAGAAACTCTTCTACCATAACGAAGGACAAAAGCTGAAAGAGCCAGATATTGAAGGTAAATACCTTGGCAAGCTTGATGTTTCTGGAATGCTTGATTTAGAAGACGGTGATGATGCAGATGAGGAAGATGAAAACAGTGATTCTGAGGATGACATGAGGACTTTTCACATGCACAGCCTGAGTTCTGACAGTGAGGATGAAACTGTTCACCAGGTTCCTGAGATACTTACTGACAAGGATGATGGAAAACATCTGAGAAGCTTACTGAAACTTCCCAAACCGCTTCATGAAAGGCAACCGGAGCACTGGAAAAACGAGAAGAAGGCTGTAACGTTCTTTGATGATGTCACGGTCTATCTGTTTGATCAGGTATCTGTTTTTTTGATGAGGAAGTAAAAGGTTGTTTTAAACATGAAGTGGTAGAATAGATCAATAATACTTGTGGATTCACTGTTACAATTGATTTTTTTGGATCTTGTTTGTGATGTTGGTTCTTTTTCCTTTGTGTAAAGAAACTCTTTCCTGCTGAGGTGCAGTTTTATGCTGGCAATAGAATGGCTGCAGTGACTGGAAATGCAGTTTTGCTTTGCACAGCGTTGCTTGCCAAGTCATAAATTCTCACTGTTTTTTGAACCCTGGCTGTATGCACTAGATTTAAACTGTTTTTTTAGTCATGTATCACTGGTGCTTGTAAGGCTATGCTTAAGTTGGGTGTGTGAGACAGCATATTATGGACTAGATTTTGTTAGTAATTTTATTTTCTGGAATGTTGTGGCTTTATGGAAGTGGACAACCTGTTGTCTTTAACCTTGAGTTTGAGGACTTAAGATTTAAGTTTGAATGTGTTTATTATACAGGTAAAAACACTGGATCTTGCATTAATTAGCACTAAAACAGTTTACCTTGAACTATAATCAAAAGGTGAGAGAAGTAGTTAGATGACAATACTACTTTTTATTAATAATGTTATTCAAATTCATAAAATAACACTGATCTGCTTATGCAATCCAAGGTTAGATTTGTTTCCCATTTGCTCTATCAATTTTTAAACTTGTGCAATTGCTACAACATTAAAATACAATCCCGTTGTATCAGTTTCCACCAGTACAGTGAGTCTAAAAGAACAGTCATGTTGTCAGGCTTTGGAAATGCTTGTGGTGATGTGTATAAATACTAGGAGTCATCATCTGCAGTAGGAAACAGGTGATATTATTTCTTTGTGTTCTGTAGAATAATAATCCTACTGTTAGAGGGGAAGATAAAAATAAGATGTATTAAACTGCCCAGTTGTTGAACTATGAAGTCTTACAGTAATTTCTAACATATTGGCTGCTTCACATGCCAGTCGTGCAGCATTAGTTTCTTCATCCTGAACTAGAACTAAGGAGTAAAAAAATGAACAAGCAAGCCAACAAAAAATGCTGGGAGACAAGACTGTAGGCTGCTTTAAAACGGGAACAAAAAACCAAACCAGTACCAGCCTGTGTATGGCTCATAAGGGAACCATATCTGTTTAATTGGAGATGAAGTGTTTTAACTATAAATGATGTTGAAATGGTCATTTCTGCATGCATTTTAGCATTGAGTTGATAGAACTTGTTTAGAAAATGGAAGTGTATGTATATGCTTAAAGTACAACTCAAAGTTCTGTTGCGTGGTTATAAGTAAGAGCTTGCAGACCATTTTATTCAGTAGTAGAATTGAAAGGGAAAATGAGAAATTTTGGAAAGCTATCATCTAACTGCATGGATACATTGCATGTACAAAAGGGTTAAACCTGTTTTGTTTGCATTAGGAAACACCAACTAAGGAATTGGGAAACCGTGTAGCAGACTTGAATGGCGAAGGCTCTCACAGCACTCCTGCTCCATCTCCGGGTTTTAGTTACTTCAACAGATTTACGAATTCAGAAAGCTCAACAGATGAAGAAGGTACTTGAAAATGCTTATATGCAGCACAGGTTGAGAGTGCATTGCATAGTTTTAATGAACTGTCACTTAAAATATGTAGTTTGATAAGTACACTATACCGTACTGGCTTCAATTCCACATCTGAAGCAAATACTTCAGCTGGGCTTGGGCAATAATGTTACTGTTTACCAAAGCTTGGGAGTTAATACTGCTTATCTGTTGATGCCTCTCAAGAGGCAACCAAACTGCAGATAAGAAGTCCTTGTGACCCCTTCCCCTCCCCTCCTCCCCCCAGATCAAACTGCAGGTAAGAAATCTTTGTGACCCCCCCTCCCCCCCAGGACTAAACCCCAACAGGGTTGGCTCAAGAGGCTTTTTAAATTCTTTTGGTGTGGATGTTACACACCAGATGGCCTTGTTAGAGTGCTTGTGTGACCTCGTGAGGATTTTCTTTGTACTGCCCAAGCCTGCATTCAATAAAATAAAAGCAAGCAAATAATTTTCTTTAGCAGCTGGATGTTTTCAGAATGTAGGTATGAGTGCAAGATTTGAACCTCATGGTTCTGAAGCTGAGTTTTGCATCTGGGGAGGTGCTACACACTTCTCTTCCAAATGCAGTGTCTTTATGACTGTCAGTGTGCTCAGTTTGTGACCTTTATTCTCCCCAGTTTCTATCCTCTGAGTGTACGCATGCTGTGAGTTAAGTGTGGGAAGACAGGTGGGCACACACAGCCACTTGCTCTTTCCCAGTGGGATGGGAGGAGAGGAAGATTAAAAGCAAGTAAACCTGTGAGTTGAGGGAAAAAAAATATATCTAATAAGCCAAAGAGATGTAGAAGAAGAAAGAAAAGTGGTGCAAAATCATTTACCAGCTCTCATGTATAGACAGATGCCTAGCCAGTTCCTAAGCAAAAGATGGCTAACTTCCCAAACTCCTCTCCTCTGTTTTATTGCTGAGCATAGTGTTATATGGCACTGAATGTCAGGTTTTACATGACAGAGTTAGAATTTTTTTAGTCAGTATTATGCTTTTGTGTGGTATGTGGAAAAGCCTCCTAAGTTTGAATTTTGCTTCCAGAATTCACTGGCATCCTCTGTAATTCTGTGATGTTGTTATGACTTGGTCTTGTCTGAAAAGCTACAATAGGTTTGTTTTGAGCTAATGCAGTCTTCCAGGGACCTGCTTTTAAAAGATCATGTGACTTCTACAGTGTTGTAAACTGCTCATTTATCTCTTGTTTTCTTTTGTTTTTTTACACCAAGGTGGTGGTTTTGAATGGGATGATGACTTCTCTTCCTCGGAGCCATCCTTTATATCAAAGGCAGCTAATAGCCTTATTAGCTCTAAACCACCTCTTCAGTCAAAGTACTTCTCTCCACCTCCTCCTACCCGGACTCTTGAACAGAACTGGTCACATTCATCCCCTTACTCCAGATTCTCTATTTCTCCTGCAAACATGGCAAGCTTTTCCCTTACACATCTTACAGATTCAGATATAGAGCAAGGAGGTAAGTGATTTAGTTAAAATTACTATTTTGAAGCTACCAATTAAAAGACTTATCCGAGGAGATTTTTAGTATAGATGACAAATTTTGTTTTGTGTTAAATACTTTAAGTATGTTTTATTACTATGAAGGTTATGTCTGACCTTGTATTTCAGTATGGCAGCCACATGGCTACAAATTTGTGGTTGTACATTCTCTGGAACATCTATGAGACATCTCACATCTGTGAGAAGCTCCCACTTCTTGTTTCATAAATTAGTACAGTATTTACAGAAACGAAATCTGTACTGTCCTTAAGCATTATGGCAGCTTAATAATTCCCATTATTGCCTTGTCATAGGTCGTTTTATTGTTATTGCACAGGATGAGGAATTTGTCTACAGTTGTCCAAGCCTGTTTTACAGTTTTGATGTATTGCTTTCTAGAAACTGCATTTTTGATATTCTCTCAAGAAGTGCAGCATCTTTTCTGAAGCTGAGTAGAATAGTTCAGAGAGCCATACAAATCAGTTCATTGGCTTGTTGAGTAGCAGCAGTATCTATTAACAGAAGCTTTCTTGTATGTAACAAAAAGCTTTTTAAAGCTTGCATGCATTTTTCTCAACTTAGAAGGGTAAAAAAGGGCAAGCTTGAATCACTTTAGCTTATTATTAATCTAGATAAAATAGTGCGTTATAAAAATAAAATACTAGTGATAGCTGAGCCTTTCTGATAATCAGTGTTTGTAAAAATGTAATCAATTACATAGTTCTGTATTGTTCTTGTATCACGTTTACTGATTAGATAATGTTGGCTGCTCTGTAACTTACTGAGATAAGAGATTTTGGAAATCCTGTGCTGCCTTGTGTCCTGAGAAGTGACATTGAACTGTGTGATTTAAGCAGATGTATATGCATATGTGAGCTAAATGTTTACAGTGGTTGAAAGCTCTAGGGAAAGATAAGCCAATACTTAGAAGTGTGAGATAGCAGAATGGCAAGTTCTAGGAAAAGTCTTGCAAAGCAGCGATGGTTGTGCTGGGGGATCTCACTGTACCTTTCCTCTGCCAATAGGAAGCAGTGAAGATGGAGAAAAAGATTAAATGAATTAAAAACTTTCTGGGACTTCATACACAGGACGCACAGACTCTGTGTCTGAAACTTGTTTGTGTGAACTCTGGATCTCCTGGAGTGACACAGGTAATCAAGAAGCCCTAACAAATGAAAGTAAACACTGAAAGCAATGTTAAATCAGGACATTAATTTGAATGTGTATTTAACTTTGTAATGTATTTTTAAATCAGTGCAATTTTGCTTTTCATTATTGAAAGATGATTCTGCCGCTGTTTTCAAGTACTTGAAGTATTTTTCAGATAACTTAAGAAACAAGTTAAGCAATTACACTACAGTCTGGTTTATGTATGAGATTGTATAATATTCTTTTTATATTTTTCCATGTGGTTCATTATCTGTTTGAACATACACCTGTTGTAGAATTGTGTATAACTGTCCTGTGCAACAGGTGGCTGTGTTGCTGAAACTGTATGAATGATAGTTGATCAGTAGTGAGCCATATTTATTTAAAAGATATCACTACATGTTACTTTGCTTATTACAATTGCACTATGGATTATTCTTCCTCTATTTCCTGATGATGTACAGAATCAAAATGTTAAATCTTTCAAGGAATATAAGACAAGTTGAATTGGCCCAGTTACCCAGTTTAATTTGTCCTTTTTGTAGCCTTTGCTATGCACGGTACTTGTAAAACGTACATAACTTCCAAGTGTTAGATTTGCTGAAATCTTATATTCAGTACCATTTCTAAATGATGACTATAGATTGTTAGTGTTCATGTTTTATAGGAAACTGGAATAGTGTATATGATATACTCTGGAATTTGTAGATGAAAGATAATGTCTCGATTCCTGAATACGATCCTACTGACTGCTTGAACTGTAATTCCATCTGACTATGTCATACTTAAGGGCCTTGCAGTTGGTACTACAACTTTCTGCCTTGGAGAGAGAAGAAACAAAATTGACTGTACAAAACTGGGAATTATGAATCTTCTAAAAAAGACTGACTTAAACAGACTGGATTTCAGGCATGTTTGGCCCTTCAGTTGTACATTCTGTGAATTTTGAAGCTCTCTTCTGCTGACTGCAGACTGGGGCTACCATTCAGAGGCCTGTGGTAGATCTACCTCTCAGTGATGTTCCGACAATTGAGAATTACACTAATGGTTAATAGCCAATTCTGCACCCTTTATAAGGCCAGACTTACTTAAGATATCTGCAGGGCTCCATGGTACATCTTGAAATGCATACCCAAAGATGTTGTATAGTAAAGTTTACTCTGAAGCTGTCTGTAGGGAAAGGATTACAGTGTGGTTCTTTAACCCTCATGCTTTCCTGTGCATTTAGTTAAATTCTTTAAATTGCTTGGAAAAAAAAATCCTTAATTACTATTCCAAAGTGAGTTAATTTGAGAAACAAATCCCTGGCCTCTTGGAATGCCTTATGCAGCTGCAGATCTGTAGGAAACACTGACAGGAACAGTTTACCTGGCTTTAAATTACATTGTATTTTAGTGGCTTTTTTGAGCAGGGCTTCAGTATAATGGTGGTCCTAGTGCTCTGTGTTCAGATCCAGTCACCTGAAAACATCTGCCCCATGAAGTACAGGAAGACTGGATATTTACAGATCTGTAAAGTTGGTGTCTTATACTTCTGTATGCATTTTGATTTTTTTCACGTAAGTTTTCAATGAAAAGGAATATGTTAATTGCTTCTTTCCAGCATTATCTAGCCCTTAGCCAGACTGGCTTCCATACCAACCGAAAGGGAACGACTCAGTTCTATCAAGTTACTTAAAATTGCCAATGTGTTGGTGAGAACTTTTTTGATGAGGCACTCAGGTTCAGAGCTAGTAAGAACTGTGCTTCAGTGTGAAGGACTTAAGGAAGCTGTGAGCTACTTGGCATATATTAAAATAGATAATTGACTTTGTGCACATATTATTGCTTAGAAATTCCACAGTTTCAATATTAAACTCCTCAATACAACTAGATTAAGGTATCACATTGAGGTTCAGTAATTCTCACACTCTGAACTGTGAAAATTCAAAATTAAGTATGAAACTCTGTAAGCGATCTGCAGATGGTGTGTGGTTTTATCTGCCTTGGGAGGTGAAATTTTTGAATTGCTTGACTTTGAATATAGTCCAAAGTTAAATACAAGCTTGTACTCCAAAATGTTAACATTTGGTTGAGCATTTTGGTCCTTAAAATTATGGAAACTCAGCTGTTTCTCATCTGTGCAGCATTCCAACAGGAATTCCCTTGGTTTGATGGAAATACAATGTTTATTCTTTACCAGAGTTTAAAGAAAATCTTGCATAGGAATTGAAAGTTTACCCGTTTGTACAAATGGACTAATTGCTAACAAATTGCCAAAGGAGCACTTTTTCCAAAATGGGCTGGGATATGTATGATATTAAGCAAAGCAATGTCCTTTTCAGCTATACAAAGAGGAGAGAAATATGTGAAGTTGACTCACTTCAGTTAAGCTGTGGGTTTAGTTTCGGTAATCCAGAAGGCTAGATGGCAATAATCTAAAAGGTCTTCTTTGGAAAAATAATATTATAGATAACATCTGATCAACTATTAGCAGTATTGAAATATATCCACCTAGCACTCAGTGACACAACGAAGATGAACTGGTAATTCCACAAATTGTGTTTTAATGATGTGATGTGTTATGAGTCATTCTCAAAACTGTATGAAATTTCTTGCACTAGCTACTTGAGCATGGTTTCAGTTTTGGAAGTAGATGTGTCTCTTTTCAGCCTGGTTAAATTTTAATTCCTTCTCTAGTACAATACTTTGGTTATTCAAAGACATTGGCTCAATTTGGCCACTGAAGTAATTTATAAAACCTGATTTTTTCCCTCCAAAGGAAGTTTATTTAAAAAAATAAAAACGAGGATCTGTAGTAGGAAGCCAACAAAGTGAGAAGTGTGTTCAGTCTTAATGGAAAGGCCTGTACTCTCCCAAATCCCCTATCCGCAGGTACGTGGCACGTCTGACTGCTCACGGAAACTGCCACGTTCGTGGGATTGATCGAGTTAAGCATGTTTCATATCCTTGTTGATGCACTAATGAAAGCCATTTAAGCCTCATTCTTTTTATCAGTATTTTTAGCAGATTTTTATGTTGTACGCAAAGCTTCCTTCGCGAGGAGGCTGGTTGGTGGAAGGACTTCTGATGAAGCACTGCGCTGCGGTGTCGGCATTGTCAGGTGTTGGTGAATGGCTATTTTTGTTGGGGTTGGTGAAAGGCGGTGAGTTGGTGGAATCAAAATTTATTAGCCTTATAAGAAATAGCCTTAACTAAGAACGGAGTGTACAAAATTACTTCAGCTTTAAGTCATACAGAAATATCCTTGTATGTTAATGGCTTCGGTACAAGACTGGAAAAAGCATAGAGGGGAGTCGAACATCATATAAACTTACTGAGAATAAGTATTTGTAAAACCAGCAGCCTGTTTTTCAGAAACTTGAATATGACTTACAGTTTTGTTTATGAAATTGTTCGAACTTGCACAGTTGTAGGTGTAACTTAAATGACAAATGGTACTGATGTGTGTGTATATATGTTTAATTCTATTTGTAAATGAGAAACTATGTAACAAAACCATAGGTATGAGGTTTTCCTATTGTAATTTAATACAGGTATGAGGTTTATGGCAATATATCATAGTTAATGAATTTCAGGTCAAAATGTCTTTAAATTGTGTACATTTTTAAATTGTAATTTCTACTGTATATTGATTATCATGCATAGTGTGATTCAATAAATTGCTTGTAATTTAAAAATATTTAATATTAAAAATAAAATAGTTATATATTTATAATCTCTTTGTCTGTTTCTTCATTCTTAAACAGATGCCAGTAATGGGTCTGGTCCACAGTATAGCATAGCTGGCTACTGTCAGTGTTAGCATCCAGAGGCTGAGAATGTACCAAAGGTTCAAAGCCACAGTTCCAGGAGACGAGTCTACATTACATAATACCACCTTTAATTATTTCTGTTATCACCCTTGTTTCAACTTCAGGTAACGTGTGTATTGTCAGCAGAGAAGCAATGCTCAAGTTAGAAACGGTGTAATTAAATATATATATATTTTCATTTCTTTTAATCCTAGAATTGAATATTTATAGGAAGAATTCACAGGTACCTTTCAGAAAGCAGGTGAATGGTACTGTTTTCTCACAGTATTTTGAATTTATTTGTAGAAGTTGTGCTTCAATCTAACTGCATGTGCTGAATTGACTTAAGATCCCCAGGTAAATGCAGTACTTACATGTTTTAGTAGCTTCTTTCACATGAGATTCAGACTCTCAGCCCCGGCTCTCCCTGAGGCAGGAGGAAAGAACTGTTTTTCTTCTTCACCTCTTGAGATCATGCTGACACACAGCAATGTAAATTAGTTACTGGAACCTGGTGTGGAAGCCCCTGTGTCCATCTAACAGCTGTTGTGAGTCCTGGGAACAAGAAATTGTCAACAAGATGACTTAACTTCATTAGCTAAAATATAACTAGTGGGCTAAAATTTGACCAAGACAGTGGTCATTATTGAGAACAGATGTGAAAACTCCCATGGCACTAACTGTCTGTCTTATGTACTTACTGAAAAAATCTGAGCTCTTACCATCTTTACCAGCAGCAGTCTCCTTGCAGGGGATGGAGGTGCTCTTTGTGCCTTCGTGGCACAGGCGGTATGGTAACCAGCACAGCCTGTGGCAGAACAGAGAACTGGGATGGCCTTTTCCTTCTCCACCTGAGGACATCCCATCTGCTGAAGTAAGTCTGGGAGTCATTCCTCCTGCAGGACAAGTTGTTTACACACTGATCTGGGTGGCTTAGCTTCCATCAGCCTCCGGCAATGCCTCCATATGCTGCCCGTGTTGCTGTAGCATTGGTGGCCCTGTAAGCCCCGTGACCAGCCCAAATGGGGAGCCTTGTGCTCCTTGCTGCCTGCCCACTACTTTCCCTCCATGGGAGGAAGCAGGTTGTGGCAGTGCTCCTTCATGTGCCTGCACATGTCTCATCTACCCAAACCCACACCTAGTGTTGGAGTGCTGGCACAGGCTGAGGTTGCACACTGCTGGCACTGCAGGGCTGTGGCCCCGGGGCCCGCCCACACTGCTAATGCAACGTGTCGCAGGCAGCCAGCTGTGACAAGGCGGGCAGTGGGGCTGCTGCTGCCTCCTCAGTTGTTGCAGCGCCTGTTCGGCAGACTTCCAACAGTCCCTTGGGCTCTCCTCAGTGTGAGGGTCCTGCATCCCTCACAGGCTCCTCATTCTCAGCCATCCCTGTTGATGGACCCTTGCCCAGCTCTGAGGGCAGGCAGTGCCTTGGCTGCCCCCATGGATGCTGCTGCTGCTCCTGGCTTGTCACAGGTCTCTGCAATGTTCCCCTTTGGGCTCTAGGTGCCTTCTCCACAGCTGATGACAATGGTAAGTCATAGGAAAGGAATGCCAGCCCTGATGGATGGGTGCAGACTTGCTGATATTTGGCTGTTGTTCTCTGTTTCTCTTGAACACCCCACTCTTCTGCTCCTGAGCTCTCCTGTCTCCTCTTCTTCCTCTGTTCCCATGCCATCTCTCTGGCTGTGGCTCCACATGCCACTTTCTCAGGGAGTTACTGCAGTGTACAGCAGCCTGAAAGCAAACCTTAGCCAGCTGAGTGCCCTATTAGTCCCATGTCATCCTATTTGCTCACCCTCACCTGCAGCTTGTAGGACTTCATTGCTTGCTCCCTCAGCTTGCTGAAGCTTCCTTCCTCCTGGGCTGTTCTCCCAGTTTTACTTTCTGGCTGCTTCTATGAACCTCTTCCCTCATTCTTGCAGGCTGTTTTCCTTTTTGAGAGCAGCTGTACATTTCTCTGCTCTACCAGCACTTACTGTGTTAAGGGGGTGGATGTTGACCGGTGTCCTTTGTCCTGTTTTCACTTTTATGTCCTTCAGTTGCACTTTTCTGCTAAGTGAGCTAGACTAGAAGTCCAGAATAAACCCCAGTGCTTGGCTTTAGTCCCATTTTCTTTCTCATTATACTTTTGTAAACCTACTGTTCCTTCTAAGCTGCTACAACAAGGTTTTTGGAGCTGTCCTGTGAGCATTTGGCACCTAGATGCTACCTTACCCAAGTTGCTCTGTGAATTCTTGTCCTTCCTGGTAAAGTTTGCCTGCTAGCTAGTAAGAAACCCTGGGGATGTCAGTGCCCAGCAGCTGAAGATACAGCTGTAAAGAACCAAGAGAGGAAGTGGTGTGGTTGCTGTGGTGCAGCTGGGAGCTTCTTGCCACCTGCTGCAGTTAGGGGTGATGTCCTGTGCTGGGACAGCTGTGCACCTGTGGCCAGTTCTTTTAAATGGCTCACCAACCTCAAACCACTGTTACATAGACTGGTCAGCAAAAATACGTTAAGAGTATACCTTTCTTTGAGTGCATGGGATGGAAGAAGGTGGAAGGAAGTACTTTTGGAAATGGTAGTTGATTGTTGTGTTTGAGGAAGAGTGGTTGTGAGGCTGTCTTGTGTGTGTGCGATGGGGGCTAGCTTAGAATGCAGGGAAGCCCTGGGAGAAAAATGCTCCTGGTTAGCAGTTTGAGCTACCAGGTGAGTTGGTGGGTCATGCCTCCCTCTAGTGGACTGCTCATAAACACAGTGGAAACTTACTGCCACAAAAAGCAGCTGAAAGAGAAACTGCTTTGAGTAACAGCTTGCAAGTTCTGACTGATGTCCCAGTGTAAGTCTGCAAGAGTCTGAGGTGATAGATGGCTGTTTTATCACCTGTAACTGGAACTGTTCTCTATTAGAAGGATTTTCTCCTTAGTTCATCTGCACAAGGCATCTTGACTGATAACATCTGTGGCTTTGAAGCAAACATCTGTAGATTGGCAGCCAGTAGACCTTACTGAACAAATAAATTTACCATCAGATAAGTTTGTTTAAAAAAAAAAAAAAGCATTAGATCAGTTGTTCCCAGTTAGACCATCCAACAATTAAAGATATTGGTATCATGTTTTTACAGCATATTGATGCTTAATGCCAGAACATCTACTGAAACATGAAGGCCAAAGCCAAAGGGAAGAAGAAAAGGCATACAGCTGATAAAGAAGCCTTTTCTGAGGAGTCTGCAGTGAGAAAAAAGGAACTGGTGAAATGCCTGCGGCACACAGAGAGGAGGAGTGGGGGAAGCAAGGAGAGCAGCAAGATTGCTGCAGCCAGAGCCAAGCATCCTTGGAGCAGTAAAGACAGACATTTGAGGAGACTGGAAAGCAACGAGCGGGAGAGGCAGAGAATGCACAAACTCAACAATGCATTCCAGGCCTTGCGGGAGGTAATCCCTCATGTGAGAGCTGAGAATAAACTTTCCAAAATAGAGACTCTCACACTGGCCAAGAATTACATTAAATCATTGACCTCCATTATACTCAATATGTCTAATGGACACTTTCCAGCTGCAGAAGGGTTGGGGGGATCCTGGGGGCCCAAACTGTACCAGCATTATCAACAGCAATGTGGGGATGATGATCATAGCCTCAGCAAAAATAGCTAGCTAGCTGCTACCTTCATTCCTCCTTTACAGTACTTAGCTGGATGTAAGAATCATCTCTTTAAAACCTCTGCCCCCATTTTTTCTTAAAAAGACATAGGTGTGATGCTCATGGCCAGAGCTTATGCTATGTATAAAAAGTTATCATAAATTACAAGGAGTTTTCAGAGCTTGCTCTGCCAGGAAGGATTGTGAATTATCCAGTCCTGAATTCCTGTGAATTATCCAGGCCTGAATCTGCTTGTCCTCCTTGGGAATCATGGCTGCAACACTGATGACCAGCGGTTCAGTGGTTTGTTCTTGCCTCTGCTGTGACTGTAGTGTGACTGGATGAGCAGAGCAGTGCATGTGAAGTTGGCCTCCAACCCAGAGTATTTATCTGGAGTGCTGAATCAGCTCTGGAGTTCACTAAAGACAATGGAAGATATTTTGGTTTTATTGTGTCCTGGACATACATTGTGGTATTTAAAATACATGGTGTGATTTCAAATCTTGCAAAGCATGAGAGCTTCTAAAAATACTGTTGTTGTAAACACCTACAGAGCTTCCTTAGCTTGTGAGCTCTCCCGAGTAAGGGTGCTTTCTGGGCTGTGTGTAAAGGATCCAGTCTCACCACATTTTCCTTTAATGGATTTTTAGGTGCCACTGTTACATGATATTAAATGATGCACAAATCATTTGTTTCTACAAAAAGCGTAATGTTTCAATACAGTCTTAAATTGGGTAATGATCAATTGCAAATTATTTGCTAACAAAGCCTGTAATGTGATGGGGATTCTTTCTGTGCTACAGCTGGATTCTGGTGATGTGAAATATAATAAACGAAACAGGAGCTCTTGCAGAAGGAACACGCTCTACAGAAATCCATTTCCCCTCGCAAGTATGGAACAGATCCATTATCACGAGTCAGAAAGATCAGCAGGCTTTGAAACTACAGCATCTTCATTCACATTTGGACTTGGAAACAGTGCTTTCCTTGGCGTTAGAATGTCAAACATATTTTTTAAATACTTGCAAACCTCAGTTTTGGTTCTACAAATACAGTACAGAGACCACACCATGCTGCTTGTCGTACAAAAATAACTTCATACACTGTCACACACACAGGGAAAAGGATTGTAAACTGCTGCCAGGGGCATCGTGCCTTCTTAGCACTTCCATGGGTTAGATTGGAAATAATTTTATGTCACAGTTTAACTAAGATAAGCAAAAGACAGGAAAATAAGCTTTTCTGAGAATGAGAAGTGGTTCCTTCTAAGAAAGGGATGAATCAATCACTTAGTAAGGAGCACAGCCTCCTTCTGAATCTGCAGTAGTATATGGTGACAATGTTCCTTGGGACTAGTGGACTTATTTTGCGTTCCTACCAATGTGAAGTCAAAATCTTACTGAAGACCTGCTCTTCTCGTTGCGGTATGAAAGCAAACCTTTCAGCTCTCTGGAGCACAGCTTCACCCCTCCAGTGTCGGGTCCCTTCCAGCCTTATTAGGTGGGCATCTGTCCCCCAGCTATCAGGGTTCCAGTTAAGGTGGAGATGAAATTTATTGCTGTTGGGGCAATTTAGCATGAGACCATGCCTCTCTTACCAGGACTGAACAGGACATGCTGTCTACACAGTCGTGCAAAGACCAGTGATTCCACTTCTTGATTAAGGTATTACTTACTGTGTGCCAAGATGGCAGAAATCGTCCCTTACTGGTAACTGCACAGTAGGCTGAGTTGTATGAAATTAAATGTTACTGATGGGAACAGGAGTAACGTGACTGAAGCTCCACAGGCTGACATAAGCAGGACTGAGGTGAGCAAAGTTATGTGACTGCTTAAATGTTTATAGTTGGGGCTGTAGTTATGTTCACAGTGCAAGTCACTGGAACTGCCTCAAATTCACTTATATTGATGTCACTGCTCAAGTATGCATCTAAAATCTACTGTGGAAGGTATGCATGAGAAAAGTGTAGGGATAGGGAATGTTTGTTAAAAAATGAAAAATGTTGTGGTTGTATGCAAAGAATTTCACATTTGTATGGTTGTGTAGCAGCTGTGGAAAAGGGTCAGAGATGCACGGTTGGCTGCAATACTTTCCTGTCCTGACAAAACTATTACTTCTATGAAGTCACGTTTTACACACGACCTAGTATCAGTATTTAAATTACCCCACTGCAAATTCCAGTTTGGTAAAATACACCAGTAGCACAAGAACGTCGTGTTTTTCTCTCAGGCAATGAGCATTTAGTTTCTTTGTAAGTTATACTGACTACCACTTGTTTGCAAAACGCAGACGGTGGCACTTTAACAATTAACTGCATTTCTGTCCACCTCTTGTCTTTCACTGACCAGCAGAGGCGTTCTGGACCGTTCTGTTTTCCCTTTCCTTCCGCTGCCTTCTGACCCCGTGGGCTCTGTGGGGCTCTCGCAGGCGCTGGCCGCGCTGCTCCTGGGCGCCTCGCTGGCGTTTCCTCTGACGGTGATGTGCTCCCAGCCACCCTACAAAGATTGGTAAACACAGAAAGTGAATCAGCAGCCTGCAAGTACAGTATTTGCTGTATGTGCACTGCTGGTTTTGTAACATTTATTCGTAACTTTCAAGTTATTACCTATTTAAAATCCAAATAAATGACTTCTAGCTATAACTGCATGATCCGTCACATTTAATTTAAAAAAGGAAATGAAACAGAACAAAGGTTGATTTCCGACAGGTGTGTGCAAGCCCTAGCTAGCTCCCCAGCTGAGCAGGCTGCTGCCTGTCTCCCAGCTCAGCACCATGCCCACACGTACCCCAATGCCGTAATCCCACGCCAGGCCTTTGGGCTCCATTGGCTGAACCCCAGTGCGGTGGCAGACGGTCCCACAGCTCAGACCGTGACTTCCTTGCACTTTGTCAGCTATCACCCAGACCTCAA